CTTCACTGTTCAGAGAAGTGGAGGTATATACGAGTACATGTAGCAAAGACCTGTTGGTCACAAACCTGAAAGAAGTAAATATTAAAGTTTAATCTTTTTCTGTAGCTTGTTTAATGTGATGAACTTAATTTATTTTTAACGCTTACATTCAATAACAAATCTAATATGAACAATATTACCTACCTAGTACCTACCTCTAACAATATAAATGGACCTGAAAATTTATTAATTCATCTGATCTAAGGAATAAGAATAACTAATCGACAATACCTAAACGATGTAGGCTATCAATAAAGCATGCACAAACATACCAAATTATTTTTTTATAATACATTTTTTTAGTTAGACTTTAATTTATACGTTTGTACTACCACAGCCTGCTGCAGTTACAACCTTTGCAATATCAGGGATGTCACATGTTGTAACCTAAAATATCTTACCTCGAGCATTAATAGCTCTATTAAACCCTCATTTTGTCTTTGAAGGTCTGAAATGGCACAGAGGTTAACTGCAATTTCGGCATCCACATCACACATTACATCAACAACCTTTAATAGTCCATTGTTAGACATAGGCCTCTCTTAAGAAAGGGTGTTTTGGCCTACTACACTACGATGGCCAGACGGGTTGGTATAGGGTATGTATGTTATTCTGTCCCTCCCCGTCCAAACTGGATGGGTGACTGGGACGGCTCCGTGGCAGTCGTCGGTTCCACGACGGCTCATTCCCCGCCCTTGTCGCTAAGAGACAAGGGCACTGGATATGTTGCCGTCGAGTGGGGGGGGATCACCATATATGGTGTCTATTTCTCCCCCAACCGGAGTTTGAACGACTTCGAGGTTTTCCTAACCAGCTTGGAGACCTCGATACGGCGACTAGCGTCTGGGCACGTCCTTGTGCTGGGGGACTTCAACGCAAAGTCCACTGCGTGGGGTTCCCCCAGGACGGACGCCAGGGGCGAGGCCGTAGAGGAGTGGGCGGCCTCGGTGGGCCTCTGTCTTCTAAACAGAGGCTCCACCAACACGTGCGTGCGACAGCAGGGGGGGTCGATAGTGGACCTTTCGTTCGCTACCCCTGCCCTCGCCGCACGAGTAAGGAACTGGTGTGTCCTGGAAGAGGTTGAGACGCTCTCGGATCACCTGTATATCCGATTTGAGCTCTCCCGGACCCAGGACTCCAGTAGGGGTCACGTGGCGCGGCGTTTATCCCGCTTTCCGCGGTGGGCTGTTGCCAGGCTGAACCGGGACCTACTAGAGGAGGCAGCCATAATTCACTCGTGGCTGTCTCCTCAGGCTCCGACCGAGGAGGTCGACGTGGGGGCTGGCCGCTTTCGCGATGCGATTACGCATGTATGCGATGCGGCCATGCCCCGCGTTCGAGGTCGTCGGCCTCCAAGGAAGGAGGTCTACTGGTGGTCCCAGGAGCTGGCGGACCTCCGTGCGGCCTGTACAAGTGCCCGGAGGTCCTACACGCGCAGTCGGCGGCGTCACCGTGGAGACGGTGAGGAGGACCGGCTTCATGAGGAGTACCGACGGGCGCGGAAAACTCTGAAGCTGGCCATTAGCCGCGCCAAAGAAGAAAAAAGACAGGAGATGCTGGAGGGTCTTAATCGTGACCCCTGGGGTCGCCCTTACCGCGCGGTGCGACAAAAGCTCCGCGCGTCGGGCCCCCCCCTTACGGAGACTCTCCAGCCCAGCTTCCTGCGAGAAGTGGTTGAGGGCCTTTTCCCGCAACGAGCGGAACACACTCCCCCGGCGATGGCCTCCTTGGCCGGAGACGACGGGGAGCACGGGGAGGAAAATGTTCCGCCCGTCCGGGATTCGGAGGTAGGGGCGGCTGTTCTACGGATCCGTTCCAAGAACACCGCCCCTGGGCCAGACGGGGTACCGGCCCGAGTGCTGGCCCTGGCCCTCAACCACTTGGCAGACCGCCTCGGGGAGGTGTTCGACGCTAGCTTGGCGTCGGGACGCTTCCCTGAGTGCTGGAAGAGCGGGAAGCTGGTCCTATTGAGGAAGCCGGGACGGCCTGCCGATTCGGTCGCGGCCTATAGGCCCATCGTGCTGCTGGACGAGGCGGGCAAATTGTTTGAGAGGGTTCTTTCTGCCCGCATCGTCCGGCACCTCTGCGAGGTGGGCCCCGATCTGTCGGACGCCCAATTTGGTTTTCGGGCGGGGCGTTCGACAGTCGACGCCGTGTTGCGCCTGAGGGCCGTGACCGAAGAGGCCGTGAGCTGTGGCGGCGTGCTGTTGGCGGTGTCATTGGACATCGCCAACGCATTCAATAGTCTGCCATTCAGCTGCATCAGGGAAGCACTCCACTATCATGGGGTGCCAAAGTACCTGAGGCGGCTAGTGGCAGACTATTTAGAGGAGCGTACCGTCGTGTACGAGGACCGAGAAGGTAATCTGAGGTGTCGGCCCATGTCGTGCGGTGTTCCACAGGGGTCTGTTCTTGGACCCCTCTTGTGGAACATAGGGTACGACTGGGCCCTTCGCGCCGATTTCCCCCCCGGGCTGGGTGTAATCTGTTACGCAGACGATACCCTCGTGACAGCCCGGGGGGCAAACTTCCAAGAGGCGGCGCGCCTGGCCACAGGGGGAGTCTCCCTGGTGGTCGGGCGCATTGAGGCGCTGGGCTTACGGGTGGCCCTAGATAAGACGGAGGCCCTGTTATTCCATGGGCCCCGTCGTGGTCCACCCCCTGGCGCCTCAATCGTGGTCAACTCGGTCCTCGTACCGGTTCGGGCCCAGATGAAATATCTGGGCCTGATCCTCGACGGGAGGTGGCTCTTCGACGAGCACTTCCGACAGCTTGCTCCAAAGCTGGTCGGCGCTGCGTCTGCCCTAGGGCGACTTTTGCCCAATATGGGTGGACCCAGCGTCGCGACAAGACGGCTGTACACGGGGGTTGTCCGGTCAATGGCACTGTACGGTGCACCGGTGTGGGCGGCGGCTCTGACCGCCCAGAATAGGGTACGCCTCTGGCGCCCTCAGAGGGTAATGGCGGTCAGAGCCATACGCGGTTACCGCACCGTTTCGACGGAGGTGGCATGCGCATTGGCCGGAACTCCCCCGTGGGATTTGGAGGCGGAAGTGCTCGCCGAAGTTTATCGGCGAGTGGCTGACTACCGGGCGGAGAGCGGATTTCGCCCTCCGCCCGAGGATGTGCGCGAGTGGCGCGAAGCCGCTCGCCGAGCCACGATGGCTCGTTGGTCGTTCCGGCTGGAGACTCCACGCGCTGGCTTCGCCGCCGTGGAGGCTCTCCAGCCGGTCATCGCCGAGTGGGCAGGGCGGCAGCACGGGACCCTTTCCTTCCGACTGACGCAGGTGCTTTCCGGGCACGGTTGCTTCGGAAAGTACCTGCACACGGTCGCTAGGAGGGAACTGAGTCCCGCCTGCCACCAATGCGACTGCAGTGAGGACTCGGCCCAGCACACGCTGGCGGTCTGCCCCGCATGGGCGGCGCAGCGCCGGGCCCTCACTGCAGTCATCGGAGTGGATCTCTCGCTACCGGCCGTAGTACGCTCCATGGCCGGTAGCGACAGTTGTTTTACCGCGGTCGCAACCTTCTGCGAGGTAGTAATCTCGCGGAAGGAGGCGGCGGAGAGGGCCCGGGAGGACGACCTCCACTCGGACCCGATCCGCCGCCGGCGAACCGGGCGGCGGAGGCCCGCCTACCACAGCCTCATGCCGCCCTGAGTGTGGCCGCGGGTGGACGGGGTGGGTTTCCCCTTCACCCGCATTAGTTGGCCAGCCGCGAGGGGGCGGCGTCCGCGTGTGCCGGACGTCGCCTAAAGAGAGGAAAATACATTGAGACGGAGCCCGCACCAGGAGCGGGCTGGCGCTAGGAGGGGTCCGGATGTCTTAACAACAGCTGTTCCCGGATCCCTCCTGTTACAGGCGCAGAGTGGCACACCGTGTGGTTTTAGTCGGTCCGAGTCCGACACACCACCCCGCCGCAAACCCCGGAGGGGTGACGGTCCGAGGGGATTTCCACACGTTAAAAAAAAAAAAAAAAAAAAAAAAAAAAAGGGTATGTATCAAGCTTTCCTTCTCTTTGCAGTGCTGTGTTATCATGCGTAGTTTGCTCCCTTGGTCTGCTCTTACGACACCCACGGGATGAATAGGGGTGGTGACACTGCGTTCTTCTTAATCTGTCAACACGTGGATGGTTTCGACTATAATTTGGGCATCCGCAAAAAGGATTTTTTATCTAAGAGCCTAGCAACTAAGCCTATGCAACTTTTTCGATGTCTATTGGTTTGAGTCAGCCTTTCCAGTAGAAAGTACCGTTCCTCTACCGCCTCTCTCTTCTCTACTCTGTGTTCTAGTAATGAGAGATATGCAAAAAAATATTTCTTAAAAGAAGTGAAGGAGGTCGTCCTTTTTTTAAGTAGCTTGAAAATATTTGATAACACTTTCGACTATAATTTGGAATATTGTTGCTATATTTAATGTTAAATTTGCATAATGTTAAATTTGAATTTAATGTTAAATTTTGTAAAAAAGCGGGTGCAGTGAATAGCTCCTGAGTTACCCAGCTGACACAAGAAATCTATCTGAGTTACCAATGTGTAATAAAGAAATAAAGATATTGTTCCTCTTATTTCTTGCTGTTAGCACAAAATGGGAAATAATAGCTTTGTACCGATTCATTTATCACTAAGTTTTATGTTATGAAGCAGAATCTATAAACGTAACCCTTCCTTGGCAGTCGGGTACAATGTTTTCGAAGTGGCGCTACGTAGTTAAAAAAGCGGCATGATTTCTTTAATGCAGATCAAGATACGAGTAGCTACTGTTTTTTATCAATACATTGTTCTTTGTAATTGAAAACGAATTGCAATTTGTAGATTGATATAGAGCATATCACATCCTTTAATCAATAAATTATTAAAAATTAAATCTAGATTACAATCTTAAATTTATCTAGATAATATACCTGATTACCTTCCACTACTGTTTAGCTTGATTCCCGTCTCTCTAGATCTAAAACTCACTATGGCAGGTTGGTTAAACTGACAAATATATTAATTTAATGTATTTTATTTATTTTCAATTAAATACTATGTAAATAACATGATTTACTTTATGTTCTGTGTTTTAAGGGGTAGCAGTGATATTATTGGTCGTCTATGCAACGGTCGTGCAAGTTGCGGATGCTGGCAACGTCTTTAGACTTCAATCAAATGAGATCAGAGTAAACAAATGTCCACCTGAACAAGTGCATGATTGGACGATAGAACACCTAATTAGGCACGATAATTGCAACATGTTCTACCAGTGTATTCATGGCAGACCTGTGGAGAGACATTGTCCTACGGGCCTGCACTTCGCTCCTAATCTTCAAAGATGTGAATGGCCGAATACCGTTAATTGTGAAGATAAAACTGTATCTACTACTACAACGACAACCACTCCTGTTCCCACGACACATATACCTACCACAACCACGACATCTCCCCCTCCCACGACAATCCCAAGTACCGCAGATACCACCACCGCATCTACAACCATCACAACAACTCCAGTTCCCACGACGATTCCAACTACCATAGACACCTCCACCCCTGTACCAACAACTGACACCACAACAACTCCAACTCCCACGGAGACCTCTACCCACGTACCTACAACCATCACTACAATAACTCCCATTCCCACAACAATTCCAACTACCACGAACACTACTACCCAAGCACCTACAACCACCACTACAATAACTCCCAGTCCCACGACAATTCTAACTCCCATCAACACCACCACCCCAGCACCTACAACCATCACCGCAATAACTCCCGATCCTACCACAGTTCCAATTACCACAACAACCCCCGCCCCCTCAACAACTACACCCATCAGCCCAATAAATCCTAATGGTAAATCCAAAATTACTTCGATAGAAACCGAAGTTGCTGTGGTGGTTAATATGAAGAAGTAGCCACCGTATAATACTACATCAATAGATGATCCAGCTTCCACAAATACCACTTAAACTACCTCACCCCTGCCCAAGACGGGTATAGATTAAGAATAATATGGACGCCCGGTAAACGCACATATTCCCCTGTCACGTCACGAGTACGACTCCGATTTGTAAAAATGGTGTTTCAGCACCAAAAGTGCTAAGAAAGAGTTCCGGTACGTCATATTTCTACACCAAGTTTCAGGTTAGTGTCAAATATCTTATTTTCATTATCAAGTACAATCATAAATTCTTCACATGCGTGGCGCATTGTTTATCTCAGAGTCGCTTGCTCAACGACCACCTGATTGGTAAAGAAGAAAAGAAAACATTGATGTTAGGCCCATATGTTAGTCCAGATGGTCAACTACACAGTGTATTATGTAAAAAAAAGTTATGAATAAGTTTTGGGTGTGTCAGATTTTTTTTGTTGAGCTCATGGAGACGCCATCGGGACGAGGCAGGAGCCAAGATTATCTGATGTTTCAACTAAAAACCATTCTGTCGGCCTCAGGCGCTCTACTTTGTTGCGGACTCGTATCTACCATAAAGAAATATACGCGCCCATAACAGAAATCCAAAGCAAAGCGGATACGACGTGGAGAACATCAATATAAAGGTCTACTTCTATGAAGTGAACAAGAAGATACAGCGATAAGAGTTAATATAGTCACCGCATTGCCGTGCGAATCCGACATAGAACGGAACAACAACAACATCACTGTGGAAAAAACTAGTTCTTTATGAGAACTTGCTCTAATTTGAATATGTGAGTGGGCTTCGGTTTGCACATAGATTATCTATGATGTTTTGCTTTTTAAAGAGATTTTGTTTTCTTTCCCTGTATCGATCGGGGACATGTGATGCATTGTATGAATAGAACGGAATGGTTGCATAATCGCTTTCCATGGGGTGACCCGTCTGCTCGTCTGCCCCCTCTAACATAAAAAAAAATACGCCCTTGAAAATAAATTTATTTTAGCGAATGCCTAATTTGAGGCATAACTACTGTACTCTTCTATAGTTCCACAGTTTACAGCTGTACTTCGTTGTTAGCTCCATGTATAATATATGATCTTGTTTGAAATTAAAGCGTATTCGTTTTTTGAAGTATAAATAAATAAGTATGATGTAATATATATTAAATGTTAGAAACTTCATGATGTAGTCAACATTATTGTAGATTATAGCATCGTTATTAAAAATAACCTTTATAAATAATAATTAAAAGTCATTGCCCTAATAATAATTATAATATTTTATTCTTTCAGATTTCATTATAAAATCTTTGGCATGCGTCTAGGATACTTACAATAAAAGCTGAAAAATGAAGTACAATAGTGCAATGTAGAGCGTTTATTTTATCATTATTTTTTATATTTATGTACTTAAGCAACTTTGAAATTATAAAATATTAAAATTATAGTTTGGCACCATTTTGTTTAGATTAATTTTAGGGATAAACCCAAAACATCTAGAGTACAAGTGTCTCTATTGAAGTTTGCACTAAATCGTCCAAGTCCAATGATATATCTTTTTTTTTGGTAACTTAATAAGAAATATGAATCTCCCCATTGTATTAATAAAAAATACAATTGATAACACTGCAATCTGATGAAGTGATTTCCTTAAAAGGAACGTAAATGTTTAACAAAAGACTGGGAAGGTGGGTGCTATTTGATTTGTCCAAAGCACTCTCTCTAAGGTCGTGAACTGGTTCAATGTTAATAAAATTATTAATTTAGTTTTATTCTCGTTTATAAGTAAATACTTATAAACGAGAATAAAACTAAATGTATTAGACTTTTTCCACATAATGTTAACTAGATAAAAACCAATGTTCTGATAAATGGAAAGGAGTTATGTGGACACCACCAAGTTTTTAAGTAATAACTAGATTCTGAATTACTGTGGGCTCACATATTGATGGATTGTCGAATAGACTCAGCCGTGCAGCATACGCGGTTTATAAAATTCGTCAATAAACGGATGTAGAAACGGCTAGACTGGTGTATTTTGCCTATTTTCATGGTGTAATGTCATATGGTATTTTGTTGTGGGTAAATTAGCAAAAGCTAATTTTTTTTTTGTAGTTATACAAATAAAAATCAGAAAAGGAAATCCGATTATTAAATAAATCTTAGCGCCTTGCAAAATTGTAAGAGCAAACACTTCTTTCTTAACAATAAGTGCCATGAAAAATCGTTGTTTGTTTTTAAAACTGCTTTAAAATCAATTATTTTTCAAACTTACTTATACATTCACACCAAACCTACTCATACTTAGTCTGTTAGGGTGTGAGAACCACCAAAAGAGTCTTGCTGCTGAGGAAACAATTGTCTTATAATAAAATTATTGCCGTCGGAACATATTAAAAATTCACTTTTTATAGTATAACGTAAGTTATCTACATTTCATTGAAGTTGAAGAGTGTCGGGCAAGGAGTTTCCACCATAAGTTAGTATAAGTATTGTATAATTGTATTTGACGACTGGATGGCGTAGTGGTTTGTGTAACGGACTGCTATTCCAAAGGTCGCGGGTTCGATTCCCGCTCAAGTCAAACATTTGTGTGCATGAACATTTGATGTTTGATTTGGTCTGGGTGTTTCTATGTATAATATGTATGTATTAACAAAAAAAAAAGTATATATGTATTTATATCAGTTGTCTAGTACCCATAGTACAAGCTCTGCTTAGTTTGGGACTAGATGGCGTTGTGTGTATGTGGTAGAATATTATTATTATATTATAAGAGTTTCCACCATAGTTTCTTGTAACGGATGAAATTATTTGTCTTCCAGAAGAAAACATAAAGTAACTAAACTTTATAATTAAACGAAGTTTCTATATTACACACTTTCGTTACCTGTTATCTGCCAAAGCCACTATGCACTGAGAATCTTTCAGCTTTTATAAAGCAACGAAAGTCTGATCTTTTTGTTATGATGGAGGGGCTAACGAGCAGACGGGCCAAATGAGACCCTAGTGCGAGTTCATTTCACATCTATTCGATCGTCACGGTAAGCGCGGTCAGCGTTGCGATTGGCCTGCGCTGAACTCTACATCAATCACAATGTTGAACGCGGTCACCGTGACGATCGAATAGAGTTCGACCCTAAGTTAGGATGGGATGTTTGGGTCTCGGGTATCTTTTCTCACTCGGTGAAAAGAAATGAAAGACTCTCCTAACATCGCTTGCTGTGAAGCCCTGGTATCACTCCGGTAGAGCCTGCCCATATGTGTCGAAGCATAGCTCTCTTATGGCAACAAATTTAGCAATTGTATTAAAATAACCAGTTAATAAAACGCAAAAACTACGCAGAACAACAGCACTGCATAGAGTAGGAAAACTTGACACAAACCCTATACCAACCCGTCTGGCCAGCGTGGTATAGTAGGCCAAAACCTCCTTTCTAAGGAGAGGCTTATCTCCAGCAGTGGACTGTTAAAGGCTGTTGATGAACCAGTTAATAGTTACGCAGTACTCCTTACTCTGTGCTCTTTATCATTAGTTCCTCATCAGCAAATTCAGTCAACAAATTGCGATAGGTGGATCTATAACATTTGGAGAGCTTCCTCGATTTCTCCAAGATTTAATCATCAGACATTAAGACCACCTGGTTGTGACAGCACCCATTTAGTCTGAAGTAGCTAAGTTAATTTTATTGCGAGCAACATCACCAACATATGCTATGTTCTTGTATCAGGCACTTATTTCACTTTGATAACTTCTACTACACAAGCCTTCGTTCTTCTACTTCGGTTGGCAGAGACGGTTTAATTTTATTTTTTAAACCTGAAGTACGAAATACGAGTGGATTGGGGCATAAAGGGCAAGTATATGAAATGAAATTATATTTATTTCTGCAACTTAATCTTTTTAGATGTTTCTATAAGCCGGTATATAAACAATATAAACCCAAATAATAAAAACAATCTAATTAAACCTATCGAAGAGTTTAATTCAAAGCAAATAAGGGAACTACGTTTCAAAGGCAAACTGAAAGGGTGTAGTCTTTAAATAAGACGTCAAAAAGTATGGTAAAGCTTATTTATTGAAGTTTAACCAACTTTATTAATCAATTTTACGGACATAAGGTCATAACAATATTATTAAACTTCACAAAATTTATGAAGAACCCTTTATCTGCAAGTTTTAGCAATGTTATTTTATTAATTCATGTTATTTTAAGAAGGCTTACAGACTAATAACACACTTTGCATTAAAAAAAAAGAATAAAAGAGGTTGCTTTTAATAACAAGCCTCCACATATGTATAAGTAAGTGAATAAAAAACTACATTAAAATAGTTTCAAACCAAAAACTTAAAAGAAGGTAATATAAGAACAAAAATTTAAATATTTTTAATTAGCAATATGTTAAATTGATTATATCAGTATAATTTGCAGTAGGTATATCACATTGCTCTGCAATGCATTCCCACCACAAACAATGAAGAGAACATATTGAGTGCACTATAGCCACAATAACCGTTAATTGAGTATATGTTTATAACAATGTTATCGGCAATCTGTATAATTCAGGTATTCTATACAATACCTAGGTAATGTATCGAATACCTAAGGCGTCTAGGCAATGTATGACATATTATGAATATTATTTTTCATTATGTACTTTACCTAGGTAATGTATACAATTCCTAGGTCTAAAATTTTCACATGGGGGGAACATTTTCCTTAGAAAGATTCATTTTCGTACGTAACCTGACAAATTCCAATCGACGCTGTGACTAAACAATAGCATTAATCCTAATATTTTCAACTGTTTTGAGATTCAAAATTTAAACACATTCGAATATAGAACAGTTCCAAATTCAAAATTGCCGGGAAATATGGAAACGACAGAACTTAAAAGGCATGCCTAGTATTGTATAGAATACCGAATTATAAAGATTGCCGGTAACAACAACACCGTATGACGATAAACTGCCAAGCAAGTCAACCACTATTCAAAAAATCTATTTGTAAACGCCGCCTAATTGCAGCCGGGCTGCTGTGAAATAGTTTAATACCAGTATCTGGGTCTAGGTAAAGACTGTTGAAAGTTACCGTAGTACGCAAGAAAAATGAATTACGTCTCATTATCTTTTATTATTTATGTATTTGAGGTAATAGTTGACCAGTGCTTTGGGCTTCTATACGACTCTGGCCAGACGGGTTGGTACAGGGTTTGTGACAAGTTTTCCTTCTTTTTGCAGTGCTGTTCTCCTGCGTAGTTCGCTCCCTTAGTCGGCTCTTACGACACCCACTATTGTGGTATGAATGGTGACATCAGTATGTTTAATCCGTCACCACACGGATACTGCAAGTAACGTAAGAGTCAATTTGTTAGCTATATTTAGCTAAAACCTTCTTATATATATATATATTTATTCATTGTTTTACATATTTGATAGATTTTTTCTGTAAACTTTGTAATTTTTTACGGTATTTCATTAGTCATTAGAGTTGATTCAATCAAACTACATACAAGTTGTAAACTTTTGAATTAATTTATAGTATTACACTGAAATGAACTGTAAGATTTATTGTAAAACACTTATACATAGGTCAGTACTCATCTACATATATACTACTAAGATTAGATTACTTGTGTAGTACCTAATCTTATAAAAGTAAATTTCCATCTCGCTTCCTAAAATTACCGATACTAATCAACTCAAAAAAAAAAGCGAGACAGTAATAAAGGAAGTTTCTTCGTATTTGTTATTAATTTATTTCAGAGCAGTCTAAACTCTTTTTTCCGTGGTCTAAACTAACACGCTTACAGGTAAATGAGTTCTAATTGCAAACAGATAAAGTAGAAAACACTTTTTCGCATAAACATCATTTAAGTGGTGCATTTTAATATAAAATATACAATAGAGCATTGTAACTAGTTGCATTTATAATTCAAAATAGATAATACATATATAGAATCTGTAATCAGGAAAAAGAAGAATGCACGGCCAGCCTATTGGCCAGCCAGTTGAAACCTGTAGACGCTAGCAAGAGGAAACGTGTACTTGTACCTACTTGTCTTGGTGTACTTGTTGTCAACTCCTTTTTTGATCTGCTATTTCGAGTACTCACCTCGGCAGGGCATTCATTGCTCAGGAGGATCGTACCTATTGATGAGGTGCGGTGCGGTCCTAGAATACTTCCGTTGCATACACCAGACACGGTTCTATAGGCAGGGAATAAGGCTTAAGGGTTCGATATCGCCTGTGAGTTTGACCTGAATCAAAAACCTCAGATGCAGATGTTCAGAACCGGAGCCTAACATTTAGTTTTTTTGACTAAATGTTAGGTGGGAGGAATTGTTTTGTAAATAAATGGTATCTACCTTACTATCAGCTGATTAACAGATTTATAATAATATGGTGCAATCAATTCCCAAATTTTGATTGCGACGGGCATCGTAAGATTAAGGAAATATTTCGTAATGCCGTGATTGATGTATACGTACTGTGTTATCTTGGATTAACTTGGTTTTTTTTTACTTTTTACCTCAATAATACGTGACTTTTATAAAATCCCAAGTTGACAAACAAAAGTCATAACCAATTATATCCTTTTCGTCATATGTTAATTTGCTCAGGGCGAAACCGCTAACATTTTGTTCGTTCGAGCATATCCAAATCGAATCCATTACAATAAAACAATATTTCATATTGCCCTAAACAATATTATTCCTAACTCGACATATTTATTTTAGTTTCTCCACCGGCAGTTGCCAGAGTTTCGTTAAAAAGGTGTATGTTATCAACAATTTGCTAATGTGAACTAAGCGTTTGTATTTGCCTCGAATTAAGATTTCGTTTTTTAAAATCTTATAAGTAAAACTAAACAAGGAACTTTATAAGTTCCATTTTTAATCTGATTAACTTTGCCAGTATCGATCTATGTGCTTAACGAAACTCGAAACCCTTTAAAGATCTATGATATGCAACACTGAAAAAAAAAAACAAAAAATACGTAAGTTTTTGTAAACTTATATTTTAAGCACCTGACGTTTTTTTTAATCTTTTATTATTTTGCACTAATTGACTTAGGTTTTATATTAAAGCATGTATAGTATATTTAGTCTTCAACCTCGTCTCAGCAGTCTTTCTAGTTTTTGGTTGAGCTGAAACTGCGCTCTACCAGGGAGTGTACAACCGGCGTCAACTTGGTGGTCGCAGACCTGGCAACAAAATACATTCATCAAATTATCGAACTTAAATATCAAATTTAACAAAGAAAAACTTTGTTTTAAAATGGCCAACAAACTGTCTTCATTAAGCCTCTGAAATGGGAATGATGCTTTTTCTTGTATTGAAATATGGTTAAAGAAGGCATATAAAAACCATAATATAAATAAAAATAAATCAATACAAACTCTGGTCATTCTATACTTTCAACGCACATACAATTTTTATAGCAAATTTGATTACGCGCGAACACTGAAAAAGCGTTTTCAGTTTTTCCGAAATCTTAACCAGATATTTTTAAATAGTATTAATCAGTTAATCAGTCCCTCTAATATTCTATAGAAAATACTAGATAGAATGGACTATATAGGACCATTCGTTCAGTGTTTAGTCGGTGAGAAAAGTGTTGTTTTTATTGATTGTTGTGGATAGTTTCACAAAGTATATCAAACAAAACCATTCAGAATTACCCTTAAATGATCGTGTTATTAGAGAAGACATCAGCTACTTGGATAACACTTCACGAATAATATTCAAAACAGGGCTTAATTTACTTGTCACAAGTCTAATTATTCAATGGAATCATTTTAGAAAAATTCTTCCACAATCCCATGGCAGAGATGAAAGAGCCTGTGACAAAAGATCCTATCTTATATATTATTAAGTTCTAAAATCCTCAATACTTCTGAGTGCATTGTGAACGATATATTAAATGACAAATCAGATACTTCTTATACAGAGGATATCACAGAAATTAAGTCAGCATAATTGATTAATAGCAACAACAACAAGATAAGGAACGTTATAAGAGACAAAGGAAAGCTACCAAAACTATTTACTTAGAGAAAGGTAAATAAACAATACGATAATTAAAAAAAGCTTAATCATAAAATTCCAGGCCATTCCATTCTTAGTTTAAATTTTGCCCAATTAATGACATGTGATTTGACCTTTTCATAGACACGAAAGTATCATTTAGACTCCGAGCCTACACAACACATTGCACAACAAAAAACAAAAACCACGAATTACATCACGTGTATGCAAAAAAAACTAGTGCAAGAGAAAAACTTAGCATAAGACTTAGGCAAAGGTAATCATTACTTAATTTAAATATTACCTTCGTTTGTCAGCTATGCTATCGAAATTGAAAGTAAAATTTTTGGTTCCGTCCCTTATAAGGAAAAAGGGATGTTAAATTAGTTGATCTAGTACTATTTTTCTTTTTTGCAATTACAAACTTATACTTTGCACTTGCAAATGATTGTAGAGTATTTGTTTTGCCACCAGCAGAGCGAAGTTTTTTTGATTCATTTTCTTTCGAGATGAATATTCATATGATGAAAAAACTACATACAATTGTACGCGACCCTCTGTGTGTGCAAAAAGCAACGTAACACGTTGACAATGTTACTAAGTGAGGTCTACCTTCTAATTGATACACATTTATAATTCGTATGCTTTTAGATATTAAAATAAAACTTTTGACACTCACCTGTATCGTAGTATTGAAATGTAATACACCGGGGCACTGTCGTAGCACCTTTGATCCCCAAACACAATAGTAGAATAAATTACAATCATACTCGTGTGGTAGAAGCCAGTGAATGTGTGGGTCTACAGGGCATCCGTTTTCAAGGAAATCAATACCCGGGGTTGTTGATGTAGTAGTTGTAGGCGCGGGGGTTGTTGTTGTCGTGGTAGTTGTTGGAGCAGGAGTCGTAGTGGTTGTTGTTGTCGTGGTTGTTGTCGGAGCTGGAGTTGTTGTGGTCGTAGTTGACGTAGTGGTTGGAGCAGGAGTCGTAGTGGTTGTTGTTGATGTAGTTGTTGTTGGAGCGGGAGTTGTCGTAGTCGTAGTTGATGTAGTCGTTGTTGGAGCGGGCGTTGTCGTGGTCGTTGTTGATGTAGTTGTAGTTGGAGCGGGAGTGGTTGTAGTTGTTGTTGGAGCAGGTGTGGTTGTAGTTGTAGTAGATGGAGTCGTTGTGGGAGGAACAACTGTTGGTGGAGGAGGTATAATTCTATCTTGACAGTCCACAAGATGAGGCCATTCGCATCGCCAAGTACTCAAGTCGAAATACAAGTTTCCAGGACAATATCTCGCCAGAGGTTGCCCATAGACACAATGATAGTACATGTTGCAATTCTCATGCCTCATTAAATGTTCTATAGACCAATCGTGTTCCTGTTCAGGTGGACATTGGTCTACTCCAATCACATTTGCATCCGCAACATGCGCGAACGTGGCGTATACAACCAATATTAGCACAGTGAGACCTGGAAGGTTACAAAAAAATGCTTATTACATTTCAAAAAACACAGTGAGTTATTAATTTCATTTGAATAACACTTATACATTACAAAACATTGTTAGCTAACCTTTCATAGTTAGTTTTTTAATTTAAAAGACGCGAAACAATTGTATGCAACCTCTTATATACCTTGACCAAAGCAGGAAATAGATAAATTATACTAAGTACACGAATAATTGTATTTTTCTTGTATTAAAGATAATTAAATGCGATAAAAATCTTCATCATAATAATCCATAGCGATGACAAATATTATCAAAGATGCAATTTAATTATTAACTTAAACACAATTATTTTGTGATTTTTTTTATATTACTTCTTATTTTCTGCGTTATGCTTCTAAATGTACTAGTTAAAATTTCAAGTTCGTAAGTATAAAAGTTACTGTTGCCGTAATCTTTAAAATAGTCTAAGAAGTGGCAACTATCTGTCAAATCATGGCAAATAAAAAACCTGTATTCATAATTTTTTTCTTAAATTTATCTTTTTTTTCTGTGCGGCAAGACATCCGTGTAGTGACGGATTAAGAATACGGAATGTCACTACCCCAATTCATCCCGTGGGTGTCGTAAGAGCCGACTAAGGGCGCAAAACAACGCAGGACACCAGCACTGCAAAAAGAAGGAAAACTAGACACAAACCCTATACCAACCCGTCTGGCCAGCGAGGTATAGTAGGCCAAAACCTCCTTTCTAAGGAGAGGCCTATGTCCAGGAGTGGACTATTAAAGGCTGTTAATGTGATGTGTGATGTGTGAAGACTGTGTTAGACTCGAACCCGCATGCAGTTTCAGGTATCAGTAGCCGGGGAACCAGGTGTACCCTAGAAAGGAAATCCCTGGTACCCCGGCGTACCTCGGGCCACCTACAGCGGGTAGATGACCCCTCCTGTGTGGGACACCAAGTTTCCTTTGTGATTTCCGTAGCGCGTCTCGCCGCCGCCTCACCTGTCACCCCCAGGCCTGCGCTTATGGAGGACGGTGGTCGTTCTGCGACCTCCGGCGCCTGAGTGGTGCACCTGCGTTACCTAGCCCGTTCCCGGCCCGGGAGACTTCTAAACCTCTCCCGGTCCCACTCCGCCATCTCCTCCGCAAGCATAACTTGCTCGCAGAAGGAGACAGAGGATTGAAATTAACCCTGAGTATATATTGCGCTTGATTTTGCAGAGTTATGGCAGCTGCGTGACATTTACTCGTCACAAAGCCGCCATGATTCAATACGAAAGTTTTTAACCAGTGTTGCTAGTGATGACTAACAGCACAGAGACATGGTCGCTCACAATCAGCCTCATAAAAAGGCTCAAACTCACCCAAAGAGCAATAAAGAAGTGAGAGAAGGAGATACATTTCTTATTATTAGTAATTTATTTACATTTATAAATAATCAATATGTGTGCAACTGAAAACCAAATTTTTTTCAGTCGTTTCCTACGTAACGAGCATAAAAAATGGAGGATTATCATCAAAGATCACATTATAGCTCTACAAAACAATCAAATGGCCAATTATCATATACGGTGCTATTAATCTTACTCTTGGCTTCTACTGCAGGTAGGTAGTTAGTAGTTGTTTTTGTATAGATCCAGTGTCCCCCAGTCAATTCACTGTCACCCATGCTTTGATCCAAAGTGACCCAACTCCGGGTCACAGTGGATCATTTCCTATTTCGTTTTAAAGTTTTTATAAGTCGCTACCAAATTTCAGAGATTTATCATTTGGCCATAAACGTTGAATCAGAATTATGAAAAAAATTGATCCACTGTTATCTAATCTCCTCTAAGTTACATTGGGAAACTTGTCGAGCAAAAAAATCATTGCGAAATCCTAATTTTTATCGACGTTTTGATTAACATTTTCATATAAACTCGCCTGATAAATTGTGTTTTTGTATAGGATTGTCTATTTAAGTCGGAATAATTTATCTAAAAATCTTAAAAACTACACTTAATATTATAAATAGATTTTTGATTAAGTTGAATTACGGAAGCTTTTATTTAAGCTTTAAATCTATTATTACTCGTAGACTCGTAGTGCTTTAACAAAACAGCTGTGAGTATTTGGGTGTCTCACTTCAGCGATCACGAAAGTCCTTTTTTTTTCCCTTTTTTTTTAAGGGGGAAATCCTCATGGATGGCCTCCGCCCAGGGGAAAGGACGCCCGGAGGGGTCTGTCAGACTCCTACTGACTAAAACCCCCCGGTGTTCCGTCTCTCACCTACGCCGGGGATCGCGGGAACTGAGGTGACTTCCGCAATATCTTCAAGTTTGCATTTGAAATATAACATATGTTATATGGTGTATTAACCATTACTCAGAAAAATAATGTACTCTTGAACACTTTATTTAAGGTTTAATTTTTATATCACGTCCACAGGTGCAACAAAAGTATGGTATGCGATTACACGGCCGTACATTATGCCAACAAGAGGAGGCGTATGCTCGTTGCTGAACCTTTTCAAACCTGTGAACGACGTTTATTTGACGTGAACGTGTTTATTTATAAATTTTTCATCCTTAGAGATGGCATTTTTTGTTCAAATTTGAATAAGACCAAATGAAAACTGTACCTCTCCTAGTAAAGAATATATTTATAAATCAGTTCATAAACTATGGAGTTTGAGGTAACAAAAATAAAAGGAAATACAACCTAATTAAGTACCTACTTAATTAGGTTGTATTTCCTTTTATTTAGGTACCTACCTACCTTCTCCTTTTTTAAATTCGGTTTGAAACTTCGACAGAAAGCTCATTCCGCAGGAGAATCGTACAATCGAACAAAGTTAAAAGTCTAAGTGGAGAACAAGATTTAATCTTTCAACAGGGTTCAATCTCTAAATATCTTATATCTAACAAAATTCTATAGTCATGTAACAATTATAAGATGCGATTGAGTTAACAAACACCAAAAACGCATTTGTATTTAAAATATTTTGTCATCATCATCACCAGCCTTAAATAATTCACTGGTGGACATAAATATTATGAAGGAATTTCAATTTAATCAGACGGCCGTGTGTGAGATGTGTCAAGTTATTATTACTAATTACTAGTAAGAAGTACTATTATCTATCCAGGGGACCTTGGCCCAGCGGACCTGAAATTACAAAGCCCAGGTCCTCCCCAAAGTAGGGTGAATGGGGCCGATCGTCGCTCGGGGTGGTTTTTAGTATCATCAACAGACTATACTAGTCCACTGCTGGACATAGGCTTCTCCTTAGAAAGGAGGTTTTGGCCCACTATACCACGCTGGCCAGACGGGTTGGTATAGGGTTTGCTTCAAGTTTTCCTTCTCTTTGCAGTGCTGTTGTCCTGCTTAGTTTGCTCCCTTAGTCGGCTCTTACGACACCCACGGGATGAATTGGGGTGGTGACAATTTGTATTCTTAATCCGTCACCACGCGGACAGTTTTTAGTATAATACACACATACTCCTTTCTTCACAGGCTTCTGCATCACCACGATTGTGTCACCCTGCGTCGCATTGTACACTCAGTGTTAGCACCTGTAATTTAAAAAAAAATGTATGACGCATTCAATATCTTTGTTTGTTCATCAATAAATATAAATTATACCTACGTCACGAAATATTTTCTTAATCTTACGATGACTGTCGCAATCAACATATTTTGGTAAAGATTACGCCGTGTACCTCATCATCAATCAAAATTAGGATTTTATTATTACCTTACTCTCAGGATACAATCGTGCTGTATATGGAGACAGAGGTTTGTCTAATATACCTTTCTATAAATTAAGGCCATTCAATATACGATTTTTGTAATGCAATTGATGAACTTCGAATCATTTTGTAGCAATATTTGCAGTACAGTTACGTTTTGTGTCCGTTTGGATTAAGAATACGGAGTGTCACCATCATTACACATCCCGTGGGTGTCATAAGAGCCTACTAAGGGAGCAAACATCATAGTCAGTATGTATTGTTACGAACTTCCCAGAGTTTGAGCTACAGACCAATAAAATTCGAAGTGATCTAAGCGAACAGAAAAGTAACCCAATGACCTCGGCGATCATTTTGGACATAAGTGTGTGTTGGTAAATAAAGATTATTAATAAAATTGATTATTAACTCAAATATTAAATTTTGGTGAGATATTTAGTGTGTAGTGTTTATAATTTTATAAAATTATTAGATAGTGCACAGAGTACTGATTTAGGTCCATAGTTAGATATACTATCTCTTTCTCCAGACTTATAAATAAAAAACGGTGTGAGGGATCTTTGGACCCCCAGTTGGAACGATGTTCTTTTCGCTTTGTGAAATAATATCCTATATACTATGTCATATTTTCATTAAGAATTTTATTGAGAATAGGTAAATAATAGTTAGTAGGTAAAAAATTTGATTTAATTAGTTAGAAAAATTTAGTGTTTTTAGGTATGGCAGAAAACCAAGGTCACCGACATAGCCTACCGGATCAACAAGCTGAAGTGGCAGTGGGCTGGCCATATTAGCCGCAGAACCGACAACCTTTGGGGAAAACGAGTTCTTGAAAATAAACAAACGTAGTGTAGGACGCCCAGAGGCCAGGTCGAGTGACGATTTGCGCAAGATGGCTGGCAGGAGCTGGATGAGAGAATCCCAAAATCGATCTAGGTGGCATGCAATGGGAGAGACCTATGTCCAGCAGTGGACTGCGATAGGCTGATGATGAGGTATGGAGTTTTTGTTTGATGTTTTTTTTTAAATTAAATGAATTTAAAAAAAAACATCAAACAAAAACAAAATCTTTCAATTTTTTTGTAAATAATCATAACGTAGTAGGTTGAACTATTTCGCATAAGTCCCGAGAGGCAGCAACCTACGGAAGACGACAACCTTCAAATGTTATTCCTGCTGATGCGAATAACTGTGATGGTTTGATGCAGGTATTGAAACTGAGTATAGGCTCCAGAGTTATGTTGAGAAGCAACATTTCTGTCCATAAGAAATGTTGCTTGTTGCTGCAAAGAAAATTTAGTTCGAAAATCGAGAAATGCTAATTTAGAACAAAATAAATACCATAAAAGAATTGCCGAATTAGAACACCATTGTTAACATGAGTCGCTGAACTGTAGACGAAAGTCGCCGACATTGCGACATCAAACCACCGCGACGAGCCAGCGAACTTTACATTCATATTACCTACTAATCACTTACTTCACTAGCTTTTTAAAATCAATTTACAAAAAAATTATTTCCAATTTATTTCGAGAATGGTCGACTACCTTCGGACCCGGCAGTACGTGTCACTCCTTGAAAAAGTAGGTACTTTGGTTGTCCCGTAATCTTTGTACCTACCGCCCTTACAAAAATTCGGCAGTCTGTAGGTCATACACCATTGATTCCATTCCTCAGTTTGTCCATAAAGCTAAAGATGCTTTTTGATAGAGTTCCCCGTAAATTAACATCATGTCAGGATATTCCGCGGCTGTGAAGGTCGCTCGCGGCATTATGGATATCGATACTTATTACCCAATAAAATTTAAAAGGCTGATAATGCACTCAGTTTCACATACACTGCACTACATACACAAACTAATTTTTTCACTTTTCAAAATAAAATTGGCTGGACTCGTTACAACACGAAGGCTTGCGCACACGATGATAACATTAATTGTTCACACCATTTCCGTGTATTATGACGAACTCAATAAGACTAAACAATTAATTACACAAAAAACTTTTCTAAACAAATATCTCACGAACAACAACAATATTATTATAACGAAAATTTGTCGTGAGCGCATCAACAAGGACACAGAACAGCATAATACTCAGCGATTCGTTGTGGCTAAGGACCGACTGACTGTATTTACTGGGTGAACTAAAAAAAACTGCGTGTCCTTCTTCCTGATGACGCAATTATCAACATATTTCGTTCGATTCGAGTGTAGTAAAAGTATACAGCCTTTTGGAACGAAGTTCCTTATCGCACGTTGTGAAAGGGGGCTAGACGGAAAAAATTCGTACGAAAATTTGTCACGACACTTTTTAATATAAATTGACGTCTAACTGTGGATACCATACATTAAATTTGCTTTAACGTTCGCCAACGTCCATACCGATGATGAGATGGGTGACCGCCTGGGAATACCACGTGATGTTGGCTTTTTGCTCTTTATTTTCGTGTCATCTTGTCAGACATTCAGCGCCATCTATCCAATAGATAGGAAATCATTTCGCAAGAAGATTTTACCAATGTATAAATTGTTTTAATTGTTTTTAATATGTAGGTAATAGCCGCTTTCATAGATGGCGTTGTAATTAAAATTGTGTCAAATCAGTTTTACTCGATCGTCACAACTTCGTTCCTATCGGGTGTCCCACGACACCTCACGGTTTTTTTTTTTTTTTTTTTTTTTCCGTGCGGAAGTCCCCTCGGATACCACCTGTCGGTGGCATGTCGGACTCGAACCGACTAAAATCGCACGCCGTCTCGGGTATTAATAGCCGAGGAACCAGGTATACCCACCGTATACAGCCTGAGCCGTACCGCAGCTGATTGCCGCGTGAGGTCAATATTATAACACATGATGTTACAAATTATGGAAATTAAAAAAAGGTCCTGTTTCGAAACCACTGATGAATCACTGTCTTTTCTTTCCTGTACATTACAGGTTACTATCGGCATCTTAAAGTATTATCTCACTTCTAATCGTTAAGGAGATTCAACTTCCATCATCAGCTCTCCTGAATGACTTGAAAGAATACAACTAAAGGTCTAAACACACTGGTCTTTAAAGAACTACCCTCAACTTCTAACCGTTTAGAAGTTGTACCTTCCATCACCAGATTATCAACACGAGAAAATGACTACCAGACGCAAATACAAGAAGAGCTTTAGAAGATATATGAAACACGTAATACGCGCCTATAAAATTTCAGAGCTGTCTTCGATTTCTCTGTGATCCCCTCATCAGATCCTGACTTCGTGTCAATGAGAATACCTCAGGACTATGCTCTTTCTAATAAATAAAGAATTTTGGCAATCGGTCCACAATTGAAAGAGTAATTGGTGAACATAAATTAAAAATACATACAGTGGAACATAGATCCCTTTCTTGGAGTCGGTTAAAAAACTCCGCGATGGTATGTGGCTATCTCCTAAAGATAACTCATAGTAACCATTTTTATCTTTTATCGTCCCGGGTGGCAGCGGCTGGCAGGATCGGAACGGGCCTATAAATATTGCCTATAAAGATGTCCTGTGGTATAGTCCTATCATAATAATTAATTACTCCACACATACATCACATTAGTAGTATTAGTAGCATCTACACTGCACCCGTACGAAGCCGGGGCGGATCGCTAGTAATTACGAGTATAACAGTCCGTTACTGCCGGCCGTTGCCAACCGGGACGGACGTACGGCCCGACGGCGACCGAGGCGACGGCCACTTTGCCTACATTTATACCTACCTACATAATACCTCTAATATCTTGTAAAATATTCATTTTAATGATATGTTGCAAAGAACAATTTTAATCTACATTAAATGCACAACGTATCTAACGTATTTAATTGGAAAAGGAATAATAATGTATTATTTTAAAATAGCTTCGTAAATAAGCCATATTTTTTTGTAAATTTAATGGATATAAATAGTAACTGTGGTTTATCCTTAGGAGATAGACATATACCATTTTGGACTTTTTTGTAGATCTTTATAATATATACAATTCCATAGTATCTTATTTTGGTCTATCTCGTAAGGTTTAGCCAGCGTTATTACTACTCTGTCTATTGCTGAAAACCGCATTAAAATCCGTTGCTTAGTTTAATAGATCTAAGCAGTGCGTACTATAACAAAAAAAAGTGTCGGAAAAATGTCTTGTTACACTTTTTTCGGTCTAGCCTCCATCCGCTCTGAGCGTGTGACGCGCGATAAGGGACTTCGTTCCAAAAAAATTAGGTTCAGGGTTTAAATATTTCAGGAAAGATACCGGTTGCAAAAGGCAGTTTAAAACTGTAGACAAGAACTGGTGTAATAATATGCCTGGTAGCTCTCACGATGGAGCTACTTATACCATCAAACTCGCCAGCGCATTTATCTGTAAGACTCAAGATGATATTTTCAACTTATGCAGCACAATTGAATGTAGTGGAGTAGAACCAGAAGAACTGATAGATGTTGCACTTTGATACTGGTTATATTGCTGAATTTTAGATGGCAATAGTCTGGCCACACCAGCAAAATAATTATTTACTTTCTCTGCTAACTCTTCGCAGTATTTCAATAACTCTAAGGATGGTGTACTAATTTGTTCTAAATTAACCACCCGTTTATTAATTTCCAATTCTAGCTTTAGGACTTCTTCTAGCCCTTTAAAACTCGTTACACTCACATTCACGTTTGACGTTTTTTAAAAGGCCATTGCAAAAGTTGTGATAACGATAGAATATCAACTTTTTTGATTCCATGTCAGGGTGTTTCTCAAGAGTCCTGTGTAATTTGTCTCTATGACGTATGCATCTCAGAAGGCTAGAAATAATCCACGGCTCAATAATGTGTTTTTTTATGGGAATGGGATTTAATAGTGGAGGACATTATAGATACCAGTGAATGGGTAGCTGCATTTGGGTTTTGGGATTGGAGAATTGGAGAATTGAAGAAAAATCTGTGTTACTGATCCAATTAACTACTGCTGGAATGTCTATCTTGGTATTCGAGTTACTTATTACATTATTTTAAAAAAATAAAAAATACACCATATTTAACAAAAGCAGAAGAACTCATGAGTCAAGCTCACTTTATGAGGATGCTGCTAAAGCTACATGGCTATCATACCCTTTTCAAGTTTCCAACAGCAGTCAAAACAAAAATATTCTTAGGAACCACACCTAGGTCTGCTATCTGCATTCGTAGCAGAGATTAGCAAAAGTTCTAGCAGACCGGATAAAATAAATATCTTTATAAGGGATCACCGAAAGTAAGTATAGTAGCATATCAATATGCCGTAAGTGTTTAAAATTTTACACAATTTTGCTTGCAGTGTTAAGTACAAGATCCTGTTAAATATGTGCTGCCAAGGATTTCCCAAAATTAGATATTAGCCTTAATCAGATAGGTGATGCCGACGATTTCATTAATTGCTAAGTATGTGATGAATTTGGTTGTCGCAACTTTAATTTGTGGCACAGCTGCACTTCTCACGGATAGTGGGTACATGCGGGGTGGGATTTACAATGAAGTTACGTATGCGACAATTGTTAATTTATGCTGACTCTCATTACCGCCTTAGTACAATTACCCTCAAATGATGGCACAATGGTGGTCATAGACATATTTTTTTCAAGTTTAATACATATTAATGTGTTATTCCAAAGGTAATAAAACTATCTAAGGCTGATAGTACAATAATTAAACTACGACAAGAGTTGATTTTCATAAAGTTTAAATATATGTTTTGTGTTTTATGTTAATTCTTGCTTCTTGCTTAAGTGACGCCCATTACCCCCTGTACATAAATCTTTCCCACTACTCTCGAATGGATAAGACATATTATAATGTACCGTTTACAATAGACGCACACAAGTTACACACATTTATTAAAAAAATTAAAATGTGCCACGTTTCATAACAAAGTGGAGGGTTCTAATTCCTGATCATCCACGCCCCAGTATTTGGTTGAGCTGAAACTGCGCTCTGCCAGGAAGTGTGCATCCAGCGTTCACTATGTGGTCACAAACCTGGAAATATAATACATTCAAATTTTAGAAAAGCTGTTTTAAAGTCTTAGAAAAAAAAGTTTGTTGATTGAACATTGAGATGATTGATTGACAAAGAGCATTGGGTTATTTTAAAAGAACTCAAGCTCGTGTAGATTATTGAAAAAGGCATCAGATCACTTCGCCGTCCGTCTGTCCCTCAATCTGTCTGTTAAGACCTCTTTTCTACGGAACGCGTGGCGTAGTGTATTACATAAAAATAAAAATCAATCACAAATATTTATACCCAGAAGCTGTAAAAAGCCAGTTTTTGAGTCAATAATAACTATGGCCATATGAGCCACACAGCTTATAAATAAAAACCTATAGAGTAAAATTACTTCCTTTTAACCTAGAATCATGAAAAGGCATGAAAAACAAGATCTCCGAGCAGGAGTTAAAGAAAAAAAGTTGTTATATCCCATAAAACGAATATTTTTTGACGAATACTAAGTTACATGTCATTTTTGGTAAGTATTTTGCTTTATCAACTGCACGTTTACAAGATTGTGTTTACATAAAGTAAATGGCTAAAAAATCAAAATAAAGGAGCTATTCACAAGGGCAATATTCTAATAAATAAAGTTTAAATGTTTTAGTTCAAATATATAAACACGAAATCATTATAACACTGTACTAAATAAGGCCTTCTCTCTAATTCATACACATGTACAATTCACATGCTTTTAGAAACAAAATTAAACCTTTGCAACTAACCTGTATCCTAGTGTTGAAATGTAATACACCGGGGCACTGACGCAGCACTCTTGAACCCCAAACACAATAGTAGAATAAGTTACAATCGTACTCGTGGGGTAGAAGCCTGTGAATATGTGGGTTTACGGGGCAACCGTTTTCTAGAGAACCAGGAGCCGTTGTAGTAGTAGATGGAGTTGTTGTAGGAGCGGGAGTTGTTGTGGTCGTAGTTGATGTAGTTGTTGTTGGAGCGGGAGTTGTTGTGGTTGTCGTTGATGTAGTTGTTGTCGGAGCGGGAGTAGTCGTGGTCGTTGTTGTAGTTGTTGTAGGAGCAGGAGTAGTGGTAGTCGTAGTTGATGTTGTTGTCGTTGGAGCGGGAGTTGTCGTAGTCGTAGTTGAAGTAGTTGTTGTTGGAGCAGGAGTTGTTGTAGTTGATGTAGTTGTTGTTGGAGCAGGAGTTGTTGTAGTTGATGTAGTTGTTGTTGGAGCAGGTGTGGTTGTAGTTGTAGTAGATGGAGTCGTTGTGGGAGGAACAACTGTTGGTGGAGGGGGTATAATTCTATCTTGACAGTCCACAAGATGAGGCCATTCACATCGCCAAGTACTCAAGTCGAAATACAAGTTTCCAGGACAATATCTCGCCATAGGTTGACCATATACACAATGGTAGAACATGTTGCAATTTTCATGCCTCATTAAATGTTCTATAGTCCAGTCATGTTCCTGTTCAGGTGGGCATTGGTCTACTCCCACCACATTTGAGCGCCTACAGCTCCTGCCAGCCGCAACATGCCCGAACGTGGCATATACAACCAATAATAACACAATAACCCCTGGAAAAGTATAAAAAAACACTTGTTATACGAGTACATATCACTTGAGAAATACAATAAATAATTAATTTTATTTAAAGAATACACAAAGCTAGATATAATTCCGCTAACCTTTCATACTCAGTTTTAGAATCAGAGAGACGAATATTAATCATACTAAACCTCTTATATACGTACATTCAATAAAGCAGAAATAAGTATATGAGATTAATAGATAAATTACAGTACACAAATATATGGATTTTTCTTGTATATTATAAGATAAGTGAATACGATAACATATCATTATCGTTTAGACAAATATTATCAAATACACCATTTGATTATTAATTCAAACACTATAGTTTTGCGATAATGATATCACTACTCGTTTTTTTATTATTCTTTCAAGTATGTACCTATCTAATGTTTCTACTCCGAACCGACTTTAACATGACAAATCATGGAAAATAAAAAAAAACTACATTTTCTTTAAATTTGAATTATTAAATTTAAATAGGTGCCCTGCCCACTCGACGACACGGCGGCAAAACCAGCACGTGGAGCCTCCAGCCGGAACGACCAACGAACTAGCGTAGCTCGACCTGCGGCCTCACGCCACTCGCGTTCTTCTTCGGGCGGGACCCGACTGCTGCTAACCGCCCGGAAATCAGTCGTCCGGTGCAACATACAGTGCCAGACAACCCCCGTGTACAGCCGTCTGATCATCCAGATAAGGCAAAAGTCGCCCAAGGGCAGACGCAGCGCCTACCAGCTTTGGCGCCAGCTGATCATTTCCGGATCGTCGAAGAGCCACCTCCCGTCAAGGATCAAACCCAGATACTTCATCTGGGCCTGAACCGGTACGAGGGCCGAGTCGCCCATGAAATAAGAGGGCCTCCGTCTTATCTAGGGCCACCCGTAAGCCCAGCGCCTCAATGCGCCCGACCACCAGAGAGCTCCCACTGGTGGCCAAGCGCGCCGCCTCTTGAAAGTTCGCCCCCGGGCTGTGACCAATGTATTATCGTAGAATCTTAGTTTAAGACTATTTTACTTCTATAAAATAGTTTACTTAATCGAAGCTATTTTATAATTGTTTATAGTTTACTGGTATTGGATGTGGTTTACTTATCACTTTTTGTTTTTATAATACTGTTGTACGTGTATTCAAAACTGTTTTATAAACTCACTGGCCTGTGGGTCTCGTGGTTAGTTTTTATTACTGCTTAGCCAAAGGTTGTAGGTATAATAATAGTAACAATAATGATAACATTTTTGGAGATCTGACACACAACGCTATCTAGTTTCTAACTAAGCAGAGCTTGTACTCTGAAAGCTTGATTGACTGATGGAGTATTTACACACATTTTTGTAAATACATACATATTTGTTTCGGAGTTTGGATGTGTTTTATACATTATAACCGAAACAAATATTTGCAGATCATACAAACATTTAGTCCGACCCGGGAATCGAAACGACAACCTCAGTACTGCAGTCGCATACGCTACCAATGCACCACCGAGGCAGTCAAATTTATTCTAGGTTGGATTTCTACCTAGGCACATAATTATGTGATGAACATAATCATTTGTTTTATGTCTGGGAGTAAAATTTATCTGTAATATGTATGTAAATATATCTGTAATGTATTTAGTAATATAGGTACGAGTATAGCCACTAGAAGACCATTCTCAAAAGTATGTATCAGATTTTAGGTACGAGTATATGTATGTAATTTGTATACAACAATGAGTTTGATTACCATAGTACAGGGTCTGTTGCCTAGTTTGGGATCAGACGGCCGTGTGCGTGTGATGTTCTATATAACAGCATATATACCAATATATGATGCCAACAAGACATTATAGATCTACTAGCATGAACTCCTACCATAATAGGTTATTTATGAAGTAAATTTTAGTGTATTATAACCCCTGTTCATCCAGTGGATGTGGATCCAGTGGAGCTGACTAAGAGAGCAAACTTTCGTCCCGTCTAACAAGCGTGGTATAGTAAAAAGCTAAAACCTCCTTTCTCAGGAGAGGCCTGTGTCAGCAGTGGGCTGTTAAAGGCTGTTGATGATAATGATGATGATGAAGAAGTAAATTTTAAATTGACTATCTTTAAAAATCGACTATCTGTTTTACAATCGGTCCCTGTTATGATTACCATTTAGATTATTACATCATGTGTGATTCCGATATGCAAAAACAGCTTAGAACACTTTAGATATTAAGCCACCGCATATTAAAACAATACACTTCTGCGTAATGCTACAGGAAATAGTATTTACTTGCTTATCTAATTTAAAAACAGTTCCTTTGCAAATTGATTATAAAATGTTGATAAACTATCATAACACTGACTACCAAAAATTTTGGCGATAATATTTTTATTTGTTAGATGGTAATGGCTATATTGTTCTTTTGCAGGACAACAGCACTGCAAAAGAACTGAGAAGGAAAACTTGACACAAACCCTATACCAACCCGTCTGGCCAGCGTGGTATAGTAGGCCAAAGCCTTCTTTCTAAGGAGAGGCCTATGTTCAGCAGTGGACTAATAAAGGCTGTTGATGATGATGATGATGAATGGCTATATTTAAAACAATTTGTTATTAGTGCTCAATAAAATTTATTTCTATATTTTCCCTTAATTTTAAAAAACATTTCATAAGAAATATATATAAATGTATATAGTAAAATGACTGAGTAGTCTTTCTTTTATTCTCTTCCAATAATCTTCCCTTTCCTTAAACGTAATGGCAATGTTTTAACATTCGCAAATATGACTACTTACGAAATAATATTATTTAAAAGTTTTTAAGACACGATTTTTTTGGTAATAAGGTCAACTTTAATAGGTTTAGGATTGATGAGAAGTTGGCATCAAGTAGGATGCGATGGCGCCAGGATGTCGGGCGCCGAGCGCCGCGCCGCGTCGCTTCAAGCGCAGAGCCTGTACAGTGCGAGTATCGCGCGAGCCGCCCGCCCTCCATACACACATAACCTCCACTTTATCTCGCTTCTCACTATAATACACACAATAAATGCAATTAGCTTAATAATGAATTTCCTATCAATACTTCTATTCACATTAATTCATTTCTCAAACTGTGTTAAAACTAAACCAAAAAACGCTACATCATCAACAGATCAGATACAAAAGAAAATATTTCTAGAACATGAAGAAAACTTGATAAAAAAACTAACTACAAATAAAAGTGAAGTAAAACCAGTTAAGATAACGAATGTTGTTATACCTAAGATTCATCCTGTGAGTGCTACGACGGCGAAAGCATCTCCAGTAATGATCCCACCTGACGTGTAAGTACACCAACAGTTTTTGAACACTCACTCAATTCATACGTTGCCTATAGACATAGCTCGTCATAGTGCTACAGTTTATTACATGTGGTGATGTGTGATAAAATGTTTCACGAGTCGACCTTGCTTCTTGTTTACGACTACCGGTATTTAGTCAAACTTCTGTTTGTACAAAACATTTTATTCGGGATGAATCAATGGGATGAAATCTATTTTAAAAATATGATACTGTATACAGTCGTAAATACATAGAGGGAGGATATTATAAATCTTGTGTTGTGTTATACATACATTTGTAACAGATCTGTCTTTTGTACTCGTATTAAAGGGAAGTAAGTTTAAACAGACAAATATATTTTATGTAACATATTTATTAGTATATTATAGAATTAACAATTTCTAAATGTATTATTAGGCACTTAGCCAAATCGTCGCTTAAAGAATCTTGAACTTTCTTGTAATACCAATGTTGTATTCAAACAGGGTACAAAAATGGGCAAATGAATTACGGAGCAGGCTGTACGATATCGATGACCGAATTGTGAGAAGGCATGAACTGGCCGCAGGTTTTACCGATATAAAAAGCGAACAACGAAACGGTACAGCCATTGTGAATGTAATGGCTGATGTTATAGAGGAATTGCTTTCGAGTCGCACTCGCGCTGCTGAGGAAATTGTTCGAAAAGCCGAAGAACTCGCCAAATCAGAGGCTAAACCGAGTTCTACTTACACTTTTGACCGCAGTATTGTAAGTATGAATTAAGGAAGACATTAGAAGGACACACCAGCAATTGATTGTCTGATTCTGGCAAAAAGTGTCACTTTTGATTGTAAATAATCAAACTCTTCTAAAACTATGTAGATAATTTAATTTTTAATTCTTATTATTTAATAATGTCCATTATTCGTAATCTATATATAGAAGAAGGTACTCATGTATTAATCGTGATGTTTTAGGAGTTAAATGAAGGAAAGAAAAAAATAAACCCAGATGAGTTGGAGGACTGTGAAATAGGTACCTATTGTAGAAGTACTCGAAAACTCCAACTAAATCATCGAAAGCATTTCGATGCTCAAGTGTCGCTAGATTATAGTAGCGTTCATGTCGCAGTCGAAGTTTTTGACTGTGGTAAGTAGAAAGTTTTTATGTTATTTTAAACTTTTATTAAATTATCAATTTGAAAAGAAAGTTTGTTAGTTAGTCATGAAGTTTTATGAAAAGAAAATAAAGAATACAGTAGATTGAGCTATTAATTTTTATACAATTTTTTTAATTTGTTATGACACAATTTTTTAATCCTAAAATACTACTTTCTTATTTCCAATTGTGTACACACATAATACATAACACACTTTAAAACATAAATCACACACCATACAAATTACCAGTTATACCACATAAGTAAATGAAAGCGCTTAAATTAGGGAAGACCTATGTCTATAGCCAGTAAGAAAATATTAACTTGTAATTCAGCGGAGACATAGAGAAGACATAGAGACATAGAGAAAGAATAATTAAATAAATACCCAGTGGCATGCAATAAAAATCGAAATTAGTTTTAAAGAACTAAGCCAATCCTGAGGGGCATTAAATATGAAATAAAATTTTACAAAAAATGCAAAACGATAGAAGAAACAAATGAACACTGATAGCAGAAATGGCTACACTAAACAGGAATGATGAAATATCTTTCATCAATCCTGTATAATTTAGCCATTTTAGGAGGATCTCGGACTGTTAATCGATGTATAGTAAAATTTCAACATTACAGATCCCAAGGTACTGAAACATCTGCACTGGTCTGAAGGATTACTACCAACGTTCCAGAAAAACTATGCGCAAGATTCATCAATTGACTTCCAATATTTTTGCAGTGCGCATGGCTTTTTGAGGCATTATCCTGGTGAGTAAGCACTTTTTTTTAATTTACTCCTGTATTGTTCTACTTAAGAATAAAACACAAAAAAACAATAGACTGCACGCATGGCGTAGTGGTTTAAGCGGTCACCTCGCCGCTTCCTACTACGCCGAGTGTTGTGGGTTCAAACCCCAAATGGGACGACACTTTGTATGATCCACAAATTGTTGTTCTAAGTCTGGGTGTTCTTTGTGTCCGTTTCATGTATGTTTGCAAAGTCCCCCGCGACACAGGAATGTATTCCTAATGCCTTTATTTAAAAATGGTGTCTTTATTAAAAAAAAAAAAAAAACCTAGAAAATGTTACCTGTTGTATGATAACCATCACGGCAGGACGAAATGTTCCTATGGACTTAGATAGATTATAAGTTGCGCTGTCATTGTAAAGACTTGCGTTGGTACCAGGACAGATCAACAAACATATTATGTACATATACATAATGTACATATTAGACTGGCATATGGGATAGGGAATACATATGTAACATATACTAGACAGGCTGCAGCCAGATGTAATCGATTTTACGTTGGTAATGCTTTATACATATTTCTTGAAAGTTTGACATGTGTACTCTTTTTCTAGGCATAAACTTCAGGCCTTCGTTCGCAAAATTTCATTAAAAACAAAGAATTCTCTATTACTTTTCTATTACAGCTGCATTGTGGTCTGACATGTTTAAACTGAAACTATCACCCGACGACGATGCGGACATATATGACTGTCGCCTGCGCCCATGGTACGTCAGTGCGGGCGGCGCCCCTCGTGATGTGCTCATCCTCGTCGACGCGTCAGGCTCCATGTACAACTCTTCAAATAAAGAAACTGCTTCACGGTTTACACAAGCTCTTCTAAATGCACTCACTGATGACGACAGAGTCAATGTGCTTAGATTTAATGTTGAGGTTTTCTCCCCTATTAGTTGCTTCAATGAAAAACTTGTTCCGGTGAGTCAAAATCTGCTTTTACTCCCATGTATATTTCGGGAATACTCTACTAGTTTCGGGTTCGACGGGAGGGCAAGGAATGAAGGGTTCTACCAGGTTATTTGTAAGAGCCAAACTTCAGTCTCAGAAGTCTGAGTTTCAGAATGTATCAAATCATAGTCTCAATTTTCAGCTATGATTTTATAAACAGTATAAATAAAGACATAAACAAAATTAAAAAGTTAGGTTAAGTGAGACACCGCCAGGCTTCTAACTTGAAAATGTAATCTATTAATCCACAAACGGCTTAAACTTCAGAATGATTGTTTTTTGGTTGAAATTTGTAAAAATTCAGCTGCAATTTGTAAGAATTATAAGTTTTTTTAATTATAAGTATTTGTAAGAAAAAAAAGAAAGATTCTTTAAACATATGACCCGGGTTTGTGAGAGTATATACATCATAATTTGTTAAATAGGCAAACCACGTAAACACGGCAGCAATGATGGCGGCCATGCCTTTATACACCATGAACAACGAAACCTGGATGGCTGACGTGTTGACCTACTCTGTGACACTGCTAAAGAATCAACGGAAGGCGAAAGATAGACCGATTGCTTGTCAGCAGGCGATAGTACTGCTTACTGACAGTTTGTACGATAACTACACTCAATTGATGCGAGAACTGGATCCTGACGGAAATATCAGGTAACTCAATGTAAGAGTACGCTGGACATTGAAATTTGTTCTTTCGCATTTATAAGTTGTAGAAATTATCTTTTTTGTTTGAAAAAGTTTGGTTTCATTCTCAAAAGCTCCCATTGTCATAAAGTCAGGAACTAATAGGAGGAGTCTTGAGAAAACAAAAGAACTCTTGAAATGTTCAGGCACACCTTTAGCGAAAGTGTTCTCGGTGAACACTTTTAATGAAGTAAAACTGATGACTAAGACCATAGATATAAATTTGAACAATATATTCCACGTTGAAGTGTTAAAAATAGGCAATGAATTAAATAGGCGTCCATGGGCTGCTGTGTGCTCGTTTTTCACCTGTCAAAAATGAAGAATTCGACTTATTACTATTTATTATGATTTTTAGGCGCGTCGTTCTCTGTGATAATTTTCAAAAAGAGAATTACCATCTTTATAATATTACTTAAATATATTGTTATTACAAAGTGAAAAATAAATATTTATATATTTGTAAATATCAACATCTACTTATATCTTATAAACTTATTCACACACAGGCTCTTCATTCTATGGCTCCACGACCGATACGGATTGCGTGATAACACTCGGGAACTCGCCGACTGGGTGACCTGCGACCGTGACGGTTACTTCGCAGAACTTATCACGCAATATGACGTCACACAGCAGGTCCTGAAGATATTGGAAATATTGCAGCGACCGCTTGTCTCGCAAAGAAAGACTAGACCTGCTGTATTCAGCGATGTTTATGCTCATGTAGAGGTAACATCAAATTTTTTAATAAAATAGTGCACTGTTTTTCACAACACAGATAAAATAAGATAGGATTACTTTCATAAACTTGTAATTGAACGATCGATAAGTCATACGATATCAATAAATATTAGCATGTTTTAATGATAGATGAAAATCTTACTTTGGAAATGTTCTTGATATTTGCTCACTATTAACTTGTACTTTACATTACAGGATCCTAGAAGAAGTGAGTTCTATTGGCGAAGTAAAGAAAACACTGAACAAGGCAATCGGTACAGAGAATTGAAGCGACATAAAAAGATACTCCTCAGTAACGAAAGGCTGTATAAAGATTATATGCGCCAAGAATCACTAGTTAGTATAGTTTTTTATTTTTATTTTAATAATACTGTAGCATCAACGAATGGACGATATCGTGAAAATCTTACGCCAAACTATCATTTTTCAAAAACAATTCAACATAGCGACAACTTTGTACAAAAATAAAAGTAGTGAATGAAACGTTTGCCACTTGCTACGAAGTTTGTCATCATCCAGTATATTTAATTTAACGTGAGTGCTACGACTACATATACGTAGCATATAAGTCCGTTAGATCACGATACCGCGGCGCAGACGCCACAACACAACGTGATTATTTGCTACGTATACTCGTAGCATCATGTGCTTCGGTCCTTTCTACACAAGTAGTGAATTTAGGCTTGTATGTATTATATCACATATACCTGTGTCGAACCCCTAAATATAATAAGTATTTTGATTTATCGAGGAATCAAATCCCTGATCAAACAAAGCACTACTTAAATACTAGTTTAATTTTGGAGTAGGTATGGGTGAAGAGCCACGTTGACAAAAAATCAGCTGGCACAATGTGGTTTTGTAATACAAATTTTCCACTGCCTGTTCTTATTCCGAAATCTACACGCATACTTATGTTTATTAAAAAATAATACAACCTAAGTATTTTTTTAGGAAAAATACGGACAATATTACGAGGGTCAAGATTTGAACTACAGATTGCAAATCAGCGTCTCGGTTCCAGTCTTCGAGCATACAACTACTGAAGTAAACTTAATTTTCTAAAGCACCAAAACTATTGTAACGTATTTTGCGAATGGATTTTCTAATCTTTATCATAATTATTTTGGTTTCAGAATATCACGATAACGCTGGACGAGGTAAGCTCATTTCTATTTACAACAGATAAATATGTTGAACATGTGTCAAATAACACATATTTTGTTTTAAGTATTAATAACTTTTTTTATCACTTCCTAACCAGCTGTTATCTTTTACAGGAAAAGCAAAGAAATTCTACTAGAACGGTAACGTATTTAGTCTAGTATAGGGCTAATGTTCCAATGTTAAAAAAAGTTAGGTAATCATAGATTTTGTTAATCTGCTTCATCCATGTTTATAAAATATAACTAACTTGTGTTTCTTCTTTGGAAAGTAGTAGCTATTTTACTACTACTTTTATAGTTCAATTCAGTAGTTTCAGAATAATTTCAGTGTAAAAATCAACGACAGCAAATGATCTTTCCTCTTTATAATGTTACAAGAGCATAAGATTACATAATTATTTGCATTGTTTTTCTTTTCTTTTAATAATTTGAATTTAAATAAGAAAATTGTAATGCTAGTTATTTTAAATAATGTGAATAATCCACACGATAAAAATTTAATGTGTTTCTAAAAACAATTTTTAAAAAGAGAGAACTTGGAAATTCAAATTACTCGTATGCCGAAGTAGAGTTTAATTTCCCGTCAAACAGCTCTGTCAACATTTCTTTATTGATTTATTTGTTGATAACGGCGGACAAAACTTATGTGTGACACGTGAATACTAAATCACGCGGATGTTACACGCAATGCATACTACATACATTATCAAGTGTGCCCCTTTAATTCTTATGTAGTTCTCTGATGGTACTTGGCTTTATAATTAAAACTACTTTAATCATATACTGCCAAATTTGAGTCAGGCACAAGGTTTTTTTAAAGTTTAAAAACTTTTTTGTTTAAGCAATGCTTGTTAAATCATCTATTAATATGGATAAGGGGATTTGACCCCTTTTTTTTTCTTTTTTTTTTCATGCTGAAATCCCCTCGGATACCACCTGTCGGTGGCATGTCGGACTCGAACCGACTAAAACCGCAAGCCGTCTCGGGTACTAATAGCCGGGGAACCAAGACCGACCCCCCCCCCCCCGTGTGGGAACCCCATGTTCCCTCTGCTCCCTGGAAGCGAGCGCGCTTCGCAACGCGCTCGCCGCCACCCCGGCCTGCTTCTGTTAGGGTGACAGATGGCCTCACCTGTCACCCCCAGGCCTGCGCTTATGGAGGACGTAGGTCGTTCTGCGACCTCCGGCGCCTGAGTCGCCTGCGGTACCTGGCCCGTTCCCGGGCCTGGCGGGCCGGGAGAGTCCTAAACCTCTCCCGGTAAGGGGGATTTGATCCCTGGCATAAGGATGCGAACAAAGAACTTGGCGCCCCCTCTTTCTTTGTGCACTAGGCTGCAGACCTAAAAGCCTGTGTTCTCCTGACAGATTGTTCGACAGCGAGCTTTTTGAGTTCTTTGTCGTCGTTTGTAAGTCTTCATAGTGTACTTGTGCAATAAATAATTTTTATTGCTATCGTTCTTAAAAATTGCACTGAACATCAAAACCTTTCCACAACTTGGATGTTTTTGTATACCCGATTAGCAGTTACACAATATTTATGAAATAATATCTTTATTGTGTACTGTTTTACGAAATTAGCATACATAATTGAGTTCAATGTCCAAAAACCTTATCTGTAATCTGTTGAATATACAATGTGTCACTTGCAATAGAAAACTAGTCTTACATTTGGTTAATAATAAAACTAACAGATTACGAACTTTTGCAATTATTATTTTTAGTATCCAGTAAACCGACTGCTGGGCGTGGCCGGCGTGGATATTCCCATCGATCACTTAAAATTGAGGTTGCCTTATCATCAGGTAATAAACCCATAAATTGCTTCCTATCGCGAAGTGAGCTAATATACCTACCGGGCTTACGAAATGACAGTCAGTTTTATATATGTTAAAAGCAATTAGGAATTATTAGATAGATATACATTTGTAGATACTGGAAGGCGGAAACAATTTATATTTAATTTACAGTGGCTAAACTTTTGGATGGATATCTATCTTTTCTTAACTTGTGCAATACATACGACAATGCGACCATCTTGGATTAATCCGCCATATTTTTCTTTTACTATTTTACTTAGTTAATTTTACAAGCTGACAATTTCCTTACAAAATTACGTACTTTCTCTTAGGAACTGTTTGTCTTTAATCTATCAATACAATGGTATAATCTTCTAGATTACATAAAAATAATAACGGTAGTTATTATTTTTGTCAAAATCTGTAGAAAGCCATATCAACAGTAATTTAAAATAATTTCGCTGCATTACTTAATCCTTAAGTATATTTATGTCACCAATCACAGTAAACCCTTTATCAATGCTGTTTCCTATAGGTAGGTGCGGGGGGGACACTGTTTCTTCTAGACCACCGCGGCAACATTGTGGTACATGAACGTCTAAATCCAACGGTAAGTATTCTAGGTATATAAATTGTCTAATGATTTTTTATATGGCCCCTTATGGTAACTGAACATGTTGCATTGCCGTCGTTTAAGTGCAACCCCCTCTCCGAATGGGGAAAGGGGGGTCGTTGAAACTTTTTTTTTTTTTTTAACGTGTGGAAATCCCCTCGGACCGTCACCCCACCGGGGTTTGCGGCGGGGTGGTGTGTCGGACTCGGACCGACTAAAACCACACGGTGTGCCACTCTGCGCCTGTAATAGGAGGGATCCGGGAACAGCTGTTATTAAGACATCCGGACCCCTCCTAGCGCCGGCCCGCTCCTGTTGCGGGCTCCGACTCAAAAATTTCCTTTCTTTAGGCGACGTCCGGCACACGCGGACGCCGCCCCCTCGCGTCTGGCCAAACTAATGCGGGTGGAGGGGAAACCCACCCCGTCCACCCGCGGCCACACTCAGGGCGGCATGAGGCGGTGATAGGCGCGCCTCCGCCGCCGGGGTCGTTGAACCTATAGTAACCTAAAGTAGATTAAGAATACGAAGTATCACAACCCCTATTTATCCCGAGCCGACTAAGGGAGCACACTACGCAGGACAACAGCACTGCAATGAGACGGACACCAACCCTCTACTGACTCGTCTGGTCAGCCTGACATAGTAGGCCAAAACCTCCTTTCTAAGGAGGAGCCAGAGGTCCAGCAGTGGACTATTAAAGGCTGTTGATGATGAATGACCCTCTCAGGATGGGCTTTAAAGTAAAATGTAGGTACATTAAAAAATTGTAGATTGAAAAAAGATTAGAGTATCAACTACATTTGTGTATGACCTTAAATAGAGTAAGTTATGCCTCGGCAAGTAGATATTTATTACCCTGACCTTGAAAATACGAAAATGTTTTAACCTTCACTTTTTAAGGGTTATCTAAAAATATCTTCGATTCCTCTGTTTTCTAATCATCTATAAACTATTATAAATTTGAAAGCTATTTGAAAGATTTTCTTTAAAGCCGTAAACCGGCGGTCTTAAAATGGTGGTTAAAATCTTTTCTCCATTGATACTGAAATTGTGGCTAATTACATAACTTACTTACAAATGTAAAGTGGGAATGGGGTATGGTAATGTCTTTCAACATGGGAGATCACATGAAACACTAGGACCACGACTAACTAACATAACCCCTAAATAAATATATAATTGGTACCTTGTACAATGATAATAGCACAATTGTTTAAAGGTTTTCATTTTTTCTAAAGCTACCTCTATTCTCCAGCCTTAACGCTGGAATCCTTTTTCATTAAAAGTACACATGACAAGCGAGGTATCTGGTAGTACAAAGTAACTGTGATTTTAATGAACTATTACTAGAGAAGTTTAACATAACAACGCAAAACGGTTTTGTGTATTTTTTACGTCACGGTACGAATTACATTGTATATTTACAGTTTTACGAAAAACATGCCAGACTGAGGAAGCGGTTGAATATAAAATAACACAAAATAAAATCCTACAAAGGGAGTTGTTATCAAAGATTTTTAAACAGTAGTCGTCGTTCTCTTTGCTTGCTTTTTTCGAGATACATATATGAAACATAATTATTGGTTACAGTTCGATGGTGACATTTTAAAACCTGGCTACAGAACAGTAGACTTTATAGACTTGGAACAAGCTGCTGAAAATAACATACCCCGGCACTACCCGAAAGAATGGGTAAAGGTAATTATTTATGCAAACATATACCTGTTTATATATTATAATATTAATAATTGTACCATAAAACATCTTATTATATTTTTTGAAACATGTATTTTTAAACCATTTTCTTCATTGAGCTATTTTTTGACTAGTATTTATTATATTATTACAATTTCTAGTTCCGAAAAATGTTAATAATAGACAAAAAGAGTGGAAACAAAACTTTGTATGGAAAAAATATTTTCGAAAATGGAATGAGAGTAATTTTGGAACAACGAGAATATCATTGGAAGCGTATTTTAAACCACTATACAGCTGTAGTCGTGATACCTTTATATAATCGGTACCGTAAAGTACCAGAGGCAAAATTCACCAAAGATATAGCTCAGAAAGCTTGGAAATCATTATCCCAAACGGATTTCGCAATTCAACCAGACTGGTAAGTTGTATCTTAGAATAAAACTGTAATAATCAAAGTTAATAAGGAATGTCTGTCCTGACCTGTCCATGGTAAACCATGTCATATTGAGACAATAAACTTCTCATAGCTTTCCCTAAAACTATAAACAAATTACTATTGATTGTATTTTATCATTTCTTTAAAAACTGTCTTACACCTACTTGTTGTTGAAATTTATTAATTCATCAAAATAATTAGCCCAAATATTTTTAATCACGTATACCACTGTGTAAATTAAAAATAGATGACCCCATCAAACTTCGCAATATTGCTAAAAAAATCACGTTCGGGTAATTGAAAGCGCCAAACTATCAATCACCAGAAGATTTCAGGGTCTGAGGCATTGGGTGCGTTTTAATTAATGATTTAGACTATTTAAAAATTTTGAAGCATTTTCTCATAATAATAATAATCTCACAAATCTCACACAAGGCCGTCAGATCCCAAACTAGGTAAAACCTGTACTATGGTAATCCGACTGCTGATAAACATTCTTACATATTTTTGAATACATACATATTGTACATAAATTACACCCAGACACAGAATAAATGATCGTACTCATCCTGTGTGGAAATAAAACATTATTTTAAAACTCATTCTCTGTTATCAAACACCCACGTAATAGGTAGTCACTTGAACGAAATTTCTAAGAACAGATAAAACTATCGTGTCACTGTGGTCCTGTACACTCATTAGAGACATTTAATTAAATAAGTTATTATCTTGAACTTAGTCATAAACTTCAATTTTTATTTTTTATTTTTTATTAGTACTTATAACTTTGCCACCATGACCAAAAAGAAATGAAAACAAAAAGATGATTTACTACTCGCTATTAGCGCCGTAGGCAATTGCTATTGCTATTGCCATGAAATTTTTCATAAAATTCATAACAAAATTAAATGAGAGCCTGTATAACTATACTTTACTATTGCGGTATTTTCCGGACCGATACGACCTTCAAGAAGAGCGTACTCCTTCCTAAAAGACCGGCAACGCGTTTGTGACTCCTGAGTTGAGGACGTTCATGGGCGGCGATGGTCACTTTCCATCAAGTGACCCGTCTGCTCGTCTGCCCCTCTTTCTAACATAAAAAAAAAACAAATCATCAATTTCTTCAACAATCTTTAAGAAGTATCCCTTAAGCAGTTTGATGATATTGACGAGTTAAAGGTTTTTCTAAGTAACATAAATTTTTTATGTATTTTAAAAAGGTCTTCAGGAACATATGATGAAGAAATCATAAAAACAAAAATAACAATTTTTTCTTAAGCTGGAAACACTTTCTTTCCCCTAAAATTTTTCTTTTCGATCATACTGTATGTACACATCACTCATCTCACACGCGGCCGTCTGATCCCAAACTAGGCATAGCCTGTGTTATGGTAACCAGACTGTTGATAAACATACTTATATATTTTTAAATACATACATATTACAGATAAATTACACCCAGACACAGAACAAATGACCGTGCTCATCACACAATATTTGTCCTGAGTGGTAATTGTACCCACGACCTCCGCTTTAGCAGTCAGGGTCATTAACCACTAGACCACCAGGCCCTTGGATAAAAACGTGCAAATTATATTCTAGCAGGTCCAAGAGATATTATGATACATACACGATGACTAATAGTTATTTAATAAAATATTGGCATATTCGCCAACCTTGAAAATCATTCACGCATTAGGGAAGCCTTTTCGCTTATAGGGCGAGGATCATATAAGGTTATTAATACGCATGTGCACGCACACGCACACGCAAACGCACACGCACCCAGATATATGATTAGACACGTTTCAGGTGTAGATTAGATTCTCGTATGCAAAACAATAGATAACTTCCCTTTTTTTTAACATGAAAATGCTGTGTTCACCTAAAATTAATTATACAATTGGAAAGGAAAATTACATAAATATAAATACAATGAATAATCGTTGTAAGTGTTTTTGAATCTACAATAAATTATCCTATTTACGGTGCAATTTTTCAAGCGTACTACGGTTAGTCAGTGTTCTTAATCTTTCTCAGCTCTGTAATAAAATTAAATCATAAATTAGAAACCTATTTTTTTGTTGTTATCTAATGGCAGCTTATCAGTTCTACATATATTCTCGGTGATAAAACTAATTGTTTTGTGCAAATTACTAATACTTGTAGCAATCGGTTTTCTAATCATTTTGAATAAACAAGGAATGGTATGTAAATAACAAACATATATATATATATATATATATATTTAACCCACGAGTGACGTCATCACAAAAAATCGGAAACTTGAACTGTTTTTTATTTTTCTTTAAATAATTTACATTCAGTAAAATATTGACTCGAGATCGAATATGAGTTTGTGAAATTTTAATTAAATTGACAGGTTTAATTTATTAATTTTAAGACCCAACACTACGGTGTCTTCAAGTTTTTTATTCTTTTTATAATCTATGATTATACGAAAGATTTTAAAACATATTGATGTTAAAATTATGTTAACAAATACTGATTTTACACAGATAGTTTGTCCATCTCAATTCTCAAAGACAGAAATAAGATGATGAGGAAATTTAACTTTGTAGGCCAAAACCTCTTTTCTAAGGAGAGGCCTATATCCAGCAGTGTACTGTTATAGTCTGTTGATGTTGATCTTTTTTTTTTTTACAGCAAACTACCGACAAACTAACGACTTTCGGATTATTTCCCACAGATCTTTAATGTAGACTTTATTTCCATCTATTTTCTATATCAATATTCTTCGATAGGTCCGCCATTCCTATTTCAAATACAGTAATCTGTGTAATTTATCATAGTTATCCTTTCGCATTCGAATATTGGCTGTAAATATTCATATTCTTGTACTTTTAAACAATATACTTTTTAATGACAACACTTTATGACACACAGCAATTACTTTATTACTTTTCTGTCCATTGTGAAGCCTCATTTCTTATTATATGTACGTGAAAATACGTTTTTTGCAGGTTATATTGCCGCCACATCGAATCCTATTTCGAGTCTCGTGAAGCGGAGGTGCGCCACTTTATCAGACGTCGAAGTGATGAGCCCAACTTTGCGATGAAGAATCTTAAACATCATTTATCTCCCATCAAACCTGCTTTACTGGAAAAGAATTATATGTGTTAGTATTATTAATTATATAACTATGCCATTAAAACTGTTGTACTCTTAGTGTTAAGTATCATTTTCACTTAACAGTTAGAGTGCCATATTTTTACCGTTTCTACCGTTACCTATACATTTGCGGTATCACACCCGGGTACCAGGTTTAGTGTGTACCAGGCGTGCCTAAGAAGTCGAAATAAAATATACTTTTTTGATAGTGATTACCAAATTAGAAAAAAAAAACGCAATGGGATAACTTCTAAAAGTTGGAATACCCATTTCAATTATGGAAATATGCTTATAGAAATTGACACCTTGACTGCACACAAAAGATAGTGTTAAGTATAAGCGGCATACTCGTAGATACCGGTGAGCGCTACTGAGATAAACAATCTATTTACTGAGATTAACAATCTTAATACACTAACGTACTTAGTAAGATTTTTTTCTTAACGTATTTTAGTAAGTAATAGATTTTGAAAATTTGCTTATCTACTATCTTGAATTTATTCTTAATTATTTATATATTTAGTCTCTTTCTTACACTTTTTATTTCCTAAATATCTTTAAAATTATAATACTTATAATAATAATCTAATCTCGCCAACCAATTACTTTTCGCATATTCTTCAAAAAAAGATAAAATACCAAAATGCTTTATCAGTAAGTTTTGATTTAAATATTCATACATTTGCAATAACGATTTACAACAAAGATACTGATAACACAAGACTGATTTACAGAAAGTGAGAGGCATTGCAACTTCTGTGATTACCACCAAAACAATGCACTCATCGATGTGACATTTAATAAATTCGATAACAATTAATGCCTGTGTCCTGATGGCAATCTCATGATATTAATCAGTGTATAAGTGATTGACTTATCAAAATTTGGTAAATGCCAAAAGTGGTGAAATCATGAAAGCAAGAAAAGCTGCGGTGTGACAAGGTGACAAATGAATACGTGTTTTATGGGTGTCCAATACGTGTTTTATGGGTGTTTCATGTTTTTATGTTATGCTGTTTTCTTATTTAAATAAATAAATAAAAAAAAAAAAAAAAAATGTTTTGATAAGATACGGACTTGACATTGACGAGATAGGGACAGAAATAGTGCCTCTATGCGAAGTAAATAGCATAGATGAAACACTATAAACCAGAGAGTAAAAGGTTTGAATAATAATATAAAATCAGTCTTCCAAGTGCGGTTGAAAATATGTACACAAGAATGTTGATAGATATAGGTATGCACATAACAGGTTTCGGATGTTTAAGCATATGAAAAGCAATGGCTGACCGGATCAAGTCTTCTCCCTTGGATGAATCACTGAAAAGCTTTTAGAACAAAACTAGATTTTTTGCTCATTCTTAGAGAAGAGAAGAGAAGGAAATCTTGACACCAACCCTATACCAACATGTCTGGCCAGCGTGGTATGTTAGGCAAAAACCTCCTTTCTAAGTAGAGGCCTATGTCCAGCAAAGGTTAAAGGTTGTTGATGACGACGATCTAGGGACGGATAATCTGCGCGTGTGTATGAAAATTCTGATGAATGAGGGAGAGCAATTCATATTACGTTGGGAATAGTGCTCTGTTATCTTTATTTACTTATATATATGCATAGATGTATATATGTACACCTAATGTGCAGAAAGACTTTCTAAATATATTTATTATACGAATAACTTAATTTATGAAATATGGTAAATTCTCGCTGTACAACGTAAGAATGGTTAGTTCTGAAAAACACTGATATGAAATAACAATTCGCGACATCATATTTTGCTATCTTCAAATCATTTTCCGTAAATGTTTAATTCAATAACTAAAGCGTGACAACTAAGCGTAAAAAGCGTAAAAATAATAAAGAAATTAGTGAAATTCTTAAGTAATACTTTATTTTGTGATTACTGTTACAAATGAATTTTAATATTTGATAGATATTTAAACAGTAGTTATAATCTTGCGTTCTAATAATGTATATATAATAATACATGATAAAATACCTGTAATTTTAATGAACTGTTAATAGAAAAATTCAAACCAATAACGTATAATAATTTTGAAACAATAAAATTTTGCTAATGTTTTTGAGGTGGGTGTTTTAAGGTGGTGGGTGGTCTAAGGGAGCAAACTACGCAGGACAACAGCACTGAAAAAGAAGGAAAACTTGAAACCGTATACCAACCCGTCTGGCCAGTATAGTATAGTAGGCCAAAACCTATATTCTAAGGAGAGGCCTATGTCCAGCAGGCGACTATTAAAGGCTTTTGATGATTATAATGATGAATAAGTGAAGAAACGAGTTATTTACAATTCACACACATGTAAACACATAATAATATACTTACGGGAATAACATACATGTAAACCTGAATAGGTATTTCGTTTACTGTGTATATATAGACATCATTGTTTACAGGTAATGAGGAACTGATGGCTCATCTGTGCAAAGAAGTGATCGCTACCGACAAATGGGCGAGAGACCGCGAAAAGCCTGGCACCGAACACGATTGTTCTACATGCGAAATGGGATCCATTACCGCGTTTTTTGCTACCGGTATGGTAAATATGAAATTTTAGTTAGCTATACTTATTTGGGTTGTTCTCGAAAAGGGGACTGTAACTTGTAGCTTGTAGTAAGAACTACTTTTTTTTTGTACTTTAAGGAATTTTTAACAATGAGGCTGAATAGTATTAAGTAAACCGAAAAAAATCCAGTTAATTATAAATCAAATTGTAAGACAGACGTAGTCACTTATCGTGTACAAACATGCTAATTTACACTTTGCCGTAGAGCATGAAAACAACGTGTAACATTTATGCTAGTTCTTTAAAAAAAATTAGTAGCTTATAGATAGTAGCTTATAAATTTATAACAAACTATATTTAAAGAAAAAGCAATAACACAAACTAGAGATTATTAACTATTTACCGGAAGAGTAATACTAATAAAAATATTAATTAACTTTTAAAAAAAGCCACTCACGCACTCAAAAGATGACTTCACACGTCACAAAAGTCTACCCCTAAGGGTGGAAAATTAAGATGTGTGAAATTGAGATGTGTGAAAATGTTAAACTATATTATTTATCATAGCGTAGGCGCAATAACGTCTGGTATATTTAAAAAAAAAAAATTTAGATATTGTTGCCCCTACTATTTCTGACTACTAAATGAAAATCCAATCTTTGACAGCTATCACATATCAACCTTCACAGTTATCTTACCGATAGTAACAGACGTATTTACTACTAATTAGTATACAATTAAACACATGAAATCGCAATTTTGCCATTAATGTGAATGACACACTCGATAATGTTACTGATTTCACTAAAATAATCTATATAAATAAAAATTAAATAACTAAATGTGTTGGTAAGCGCAAAACTGAAGAAGGACATTTTCGATTTAATAATAATCCGAATCGGGTTCTCGTAGAATAATGCAACAAATCTTTCAAAAGTTGTCCGGAAATTGAAGATTTCAGAAAGTACAAATTAGTGGAAGTCTTTCGTTTCAATCAACTAAAAGTCTATTGCTTTTTTAAGCTTATGTAACAGTCCTTGTTTTGTTTACCTAGCCTAAGGGATTTATTTATGTCTATTTAGGGCATATTTCTGAGCTTTGCATTTAACTGACTTATGATACAAAACCGATGGTAGGTTATCAATTGTACGTACTATAGCGAACTTAACATGACTATTTTAGCTGTCTATACATTATTGGAAAAAAACCGGCTCAAAAAACACGCACTCACTGAAACTACCTACATACTGTACAAATTATTTTCGGGTCTCTTTACCAAGTCTGCTTTATTGCAACAGCTCCTGAGCCTTAACCTTTTTCAGCTGCTCTATATGCAGGAAGTATTATTTATCAAATGCATATTTGTATACAGAGAATGGTTTAACCCGTTGGCAACAGTACCACGCCACGAGCTCGCACGCTCCCCCACCCAATGGCTCTTGGTGGTCGCACGGTCCCGCCGACCCGTATTACCGAAGGGCTGTCGCCTCACCAGATAAGCTAGTAATACATGCCCCCGTGTCACCCATGAGGATTATGCGTATTGGTGAAGAAAAACCACCCGCTGTAAGTAACATATCTCTCTCATAAAATTATAATATAAAAATTGATACCTGATCTGTTTATTTACTTATTTTAAAAATTAATTATGTACTGAACAGTATTTTTGGTGCTTTCCATAAATTATTCAATTTTAAAATTCATCATCATCAACAGCCTATACTAGTCCACTACTGGACATAGGCCTCTCCTTAGAAAGGAGGTTTTGGCCTACTATACCACGCTGGCCAGACGGGTTGGTATAGGGTTTGTTTCAAGTTTTCCTTCTCTTTGCAGTGCTGTTGTCCTGCTTAGTTTGCTCCCTTAGTCGGCTCTTACGACACCCACGGGATGAATTGGGGTGGTGACAATTTGTATTCTTAATCCGTCACCACACGGACCAATTTTAAAATTAAAATTAAAATTATTTTTCATACCCCTAAATGGTAATGGTGACCCATCCCTAATTTTTTTTTGTTTTGCAATACAACGTTTGCCGGGTCAGCTAGTAATATATATTTACAATAATGAAACTAAAATGTAAAAAGTGTAGGTACAAGAATCATATTCTTAAAAATGTATTTTGAATGCACTCGCCTATTTTTAAATCGCAAGGGAATCTATAAATCGTCCAGCTTGAATAACAAAAGGTTGGTCATACATTATTGTGGAATGCTATGGCATCTCCAGTCTCAAATCTTTAGATAATCTGAGAAACTTTTCATGAAAGCCTTGAGGAAACTTTCTTCTGACTTGGTTCTGATTGAAAACAGTTTTTCATGTCTTCAATTAATGTTTGATAGGAATCCATCTCTTGCGTTTTTTTTCTACTTACTCGCCGAGTAGTCTTCTTTGTTTGCAGATCATAGCGGATCTATGTCACATAATTGGGAGCATGAACTCATTGCATAATTTTCGATTAAGTATACAGGGAGTAATGGACATCGTAACGAATACTGATATAGTGTATTCAGACCATGTTTCTGAGTCGAATATCATTAGAATTTTCTGCCGGAAAATTCAACATTTTTTTTTATAATTTTCCATTTCTTTGGTTAAAAATGATGAAAAATGATAGCACAATGAGTAAACAAATCATTTTATCATATGGTCAAAAACTGCAGTGTAATTAATCGAACGGCCTCCCCTCCGGCTGCCAACTCATGTTAGTGTGCATAGAATATTTACATGGAATACACATGTCGTTATAACTTTCGTGCGATACCTATAGAAATTGACTTTTAATCTTAGACAGCTGATTGCATAAAAAGTTTACTTTTCCGGCAGAAAATTCCAATTATTTTCGACTTAGAAAGATGGTCAGAATACACAATTTCAGTATTCGTTACGACGTCCCTTACACCCTGTATATCAGCGCTTTTTTTATTACACTTTTCAAAAATCTTTTGTAAATATTTCTCATTCCAAAATTTCTTCTAATAAACCTCTGTCAGTTCTTAGTTCAAGATTTGTAGGATCTAATAACTAGACAATTTTACTTGACCTTTCAGTTTGACATTCATTCAGAGTGGTATACAGCTGCAAGAGTACTGGGTTCGCCAAAAGAAGGCATCATTGGCGTGGCGGGCTTCCACTTTCATCCACATCATTTGAAAAACCTGTTCTCGTTAATCACAAATTTTCCCGTAAGTGGTAAAAATCATAAATTAGTTGATTAATTTGTTTATTTTAAGACGCTTATTTTAAGTATTCTTGGTTCAACCAACTATTCTTCATATTGTGTATTATGTATTTTCTCCAGAATCAAACTATCTCCGTACCAAATTTTATTTGAATCAGTTTAGCGGTTATTTATTACCCATACAAACTTTCCCCCCTCTTTCAGCCCCATAAAGGTTGATTTCTGGGATAAAAACTATCCTGTATTTTTCCGGGACCAAACTATCTTGAATCCAAATTTTATCTAAATTGGTTGAGCAATTTAAGCGTGTAGTAGTAACAGATACACAGACAGACAGATACACACTTTCGCATTTACAATATTAGTATGGATAGTATAAATGTGAATACATTTATACGCGTCTGTAGGCCTTACGGCTAAAATTTAATAATAAATACCCATTGTAAGATAATAAAATAAAATTCCACGAAATAGGAAGTTTATGCCACTGTAAAATAAATTTTACTTTAATTGTTTTACAACGATTGCTATCTCTTACATGTTTTGTTACTTAAAGAAACATAACTTTGTTTATCAGATTTAATAATGATATAGTATGGAATGTTTTGTAAAATCACGCACAAGTGTAGGTAATATATTAAGAGTGATGAACTGACTTGTATAAGTTGCCCAGCAATCTATATAATTCAGATATTCTACCTATACCATATCTAGGCAATGCATAGACTACCCGAAGCGTCTTGACGGGGTATAAAACATAATGAATAAAATGGTTTACTACATACTTTACCGATGTAATGTAATTGTAATGTAATGTAATTCCCAGGGATTGTGTGAAGTACCTGATCCAACGAAGTGTAAAATAAAATCGATTTTGGTCTGTATTTATCGATAGTTAGGATGTAACAAACCCCGACTAATATGTAAATGACTTACAGAAGCACGTTCTAAAAGAGACAGCAATCAATACTTCGGTCTATATCAGCGTGCTGGTTTTGCCGGCATATTTTATCAGCAAAACGTCGTGTTTTATCGTTGGATATCTGAGCCATACCAGACGGCTTAGTTTTCTATCGATAAAATCCTTTTAAAATACATATTTTTTATTCGATTACATATGTAATAATAAAAAAGTAATTATCGTACAATATTGTGATTTTATTTACAACTTTATGCACTTATGTACAACGGCGGGCTGTAGAAACCTGGTGAGGTAGGTGCACTGTTTATAACTAACATTTACTTAACAATTTATAACTAACATATACAATTACACACATACACGCATATATATATATATATATATATATATATATATAGATATAAATACACATAAAATACATATACTTTTTATTTTTTTACACTGTAAATATGGAGGTGTACTATTGAGTAGGTAATTCCGCCAGCTGAAGAAGGTAGTTATGTACATTCTTTTTAAATGGACAAACAACTCACAAACTCGGAATTGTGGGAGGGACAAAGGAGAAGCAAAGTATTTGTTGAGCGAAGATTTCTATCGTGATTAGTGGACAGGAAACGCAGATAGGGATCAAGGTAAGTGGGTGAGAATGGGGAGTTGAGGAATGAAAAGAGAGAGGTCAGCGCTCGCTGATTACGGTGCAGGCGAACGGGCAACCATTGCAATTGGGAACGAAAAGCAAAGACGTGGTCATACTTTCGAAGATTAAATATATATCGAATGCAGTTATTGAGAAGACCGTCAAGCTTGTTAGGGTCTGCATTCAGGTCGAAGTAACACACATCGCCCTAATCAGTTAAAGGGATAAGGATTAGGGACTGCATGAGAGAGATCTTCGTTTAAGGTGGCAGGAAATTCTTAAGACGGCGTAACGTTCGTAGGTTTCCGGTTACTTTCTGACTCACATGAGTAACCGGACACGCTAATCAAGGGTTGATTCGATGAGCGATGATTTTCATCCATCTTTATTAAAAAAATATATGTTAGAGGGGGTGGACGATCAGATGGGTCACCTGATGGAAAGTGACCATCGCCACCCACGAACGTCTGCAACTCAGGAGTCACAAACGCGTTGCCGGCCTTTTAGGAAGGAGTACGCTCTTTTCTAGAAGGTTTGAAGGTCGTATTGGTCCGGAAATACCGCAGACAACAACCCGTTCCACAGATTGGTTGTGCGGGACAAAAAGTGTCTCGAAAAGCGCACAGTGGTGGAGCGCCAACTATCCAGGTAATGAGGATGAAAATTTTGCCGTGTGGAACGATGGCGGAAATTTGCGGCTGGTATTAGTCCGAACAGTTCCTCGGAGCACTCTCCATGATATATGCGATAGAGAATGCAGAGTGAAGCCACATCTCTACGTAACGCCAAGGGATCGAGCCGTTTAAATTTAAGACAAATTTTTATTTTGGTACTGGTTGTTTGGTGTTTATAAAACATTATAAATTGAACATTGCCTTTAAATTACGTTACGTTGGTTTTAAATTATGGATGATATTCATAGCAATTCTTAGGTCAGCTTGACTTGCACAAATTTATAGTACGTGGGGCATACTGAAAATCTCTGACTCTCTCTCTCGCCACTTACAATAGAAAAATGAAAAAAACAATTATTGAATTAGAAAATGGAACTCTTTGGGAACATGTTACCTTTTAATTTGCGAGACTTTCATTTGTTTTTAGGGTTCCGTACCTCAAAACAAAAAAAAACCGAACCCTTTTAGGATCACTTTGTTGTCTGTCTGTCTGTCAAGACCCTTTATCTCGGGAGCGCGTGGAGGTATCTTGTTGAAATTTAAACATTATACTCAAATTTACTGTTTCTTGAAGCTGTAAAAAAACTAGACTTCTAAGTTAACGTAAAGTAAAGATACGGCCGTTTATGCCGCACAAAAACGTATATTTCGACACTCTCAAGAGAATCAAATTTATAGGATATTTTCCGTTGACCTGGAACTATGCAATTTGGCAAGTAATACCTTCTTATACTAAAAGTATACCTAGGGAAAAATCTGAAAACTATACATTCTAAAAAGAAGTCTAATTCGGATGGTTTGAAGTAGGTTGTCAAATTAGAGCTTGTCGTGAATTCTGACTAAATAAAAATGAAACCTTCCTAGTTTCAAATCTGGATCTATTCTGAATTGCGCTACCTGCAAATTAAAAAAATGCTACGTAGTCTAAACCAACTTAATTTTTTTAAGCATTTATATAAAAGGATTACATCATATGTAATTTAAAAATATTCCACGATCCTATTTAAACCTGGCATCAGGTATCTAATGCATTTAAATTTCACATTTCAGACAGAAGAGGAAACCGCCCCACGTTGCGATGGCACAGCATGGTCGTGTCTGTTAATAGACGAGTACGGCTGGGTAGTAGTCCACGAGGGCAACAACTACACCGAGCCTCCAACCGACCCTCTGAGGCAACACCTCGCCACTCTCTATCCTGGAATAATGGCTAGTTTACTTCATGAAGGTGTCTTTGAGCTAATTTGGGTGAATGATTACCAGGGTGTTTGTTTTGCTCCCGAAGACGAAGTGATGAAGATGTCTTCGGCTGTAACCGTAAGTTGTTTTACTGACAAATAAAATAGATAAAACAATAATAATTATAATAATAATAAACATTTGCTACTAGCATTAGGAATAAAATCCGAGCAGGAGAAGATAATCTAAATACCATACAATTTGTGTCGGTCTTCTGTAAGTAGCATGACTAAATTCAACTCTACAATATTAGTCACTCGTAAAATTTTCTAGACTGTTATATTCAGCTTCGAATTTACATGACCTTGGAAAATTTAACAAATAAGAGAGCACATATCTTGCAGTTTGGTCCTTCGAGCTAGGTAGAAACTTTAGTTTTTATATTAAGTAGGTCATGCTTCATGATATCATAGCATACCTTTAATATTCCTAGAGTTAAAAGCTGTTGGATAGAGACCTCGCAAGAACACGATAGACAATTGTAGATATCTATGTTTAGTCTTGATATCCCATAAGTTTTATTGTTAATCTGTGAACGGTTTCTTTCTTTATTCTTTTGCAGATAGTGCCCTCAATAATAAACTCACTTTGGCAGGCAGTGAGCCTTTTATTAAGAATGACTCAAGAAATGATTTTATTTGTAACGATTCTAAGTTCAGGTAAGTAATAACTTATACGTGTACCTACCCGAATACTATAGTACTACAATGTTCACTTGGTCAACATTCAAGATATTTATTCTACAATGGTTAACGAGACAATAGAAGATGTAGATACAACATTTAACAAGTAGGTTATTGAAGCTGTTCTAGAATTTTACTGGTAATTAAACCAGTATTTGCAGCAAATAGCAACTAATGAAAATTTGGCTTTCTTTTCAACCTTTTAAGTAACCTGAGTTACCACCACAACCAGGTTAAGTACCTAACCTGAATTCAATCTCAAATCTATGTATCTATAATTCTGATATATGTATATGATACATAATAAATATAGGAATATATCGGTATTAAATTAATAGGTTATTAATTTTTATTGATTGTTACTGTATTCCTTGATTCCGTTAGGATCAGTAGCTACTGCTGAAACTGAGAAGGAAAAGGCTAAGCGACGCAGAATACTGTGGCGCGACTATCAGCGCGACGCGTATGAACGTTTGTTCGAAGAACGCGTTCTTGTCAACAGGACCAGGTTCGCGGCTTGCGATAGATCACGACCTGTCTATATTTTACGGGTAAGGGATAAAACCAAAGTAAATAAGTCCATTACTAGTACAAGCATTTCATACGAGATCTATTTCCTTAAGTAGAATTCTCTTGTGAACATGTGAGAGAGGGTCGTGGGTTCACTCTTGGTAGAGGATTAAAATCTGTATTACTGCTTTCATTCTCTCTATTAGCTAAGTATATCGAAACTAAACATTGTTCGCGTGAAGATACTTAAAAGAAAAACGAAAATTGTTTTTTTTTTTTTTTGCTTTAATTATTATAAAAGTGACGCGAGAGATAAAACCATCCTTGTCATATCAAAAATTAAGCTCAATCGAGCCAGAACTTTTTAAATTTTTGGAGTGTACACAAACCAACTTAATCTTTATATAAGTAGATAATGTGATCTGGCTGTGTTTTTCAAAATACTTCACCGATTATTGTTTGCCAAATTTTTCTTCAGTTCAATGAAATGCTTTTTACCTAGAGTTTGATTTAAGAACACACCAACAACAAAATGAATATTTAATTTAATAAAATTAAAAAATTGATTTACAGGACACACCCAAAACCAATGAAGTTCTAAAACGGCCCGCAAAACCTTGCAGCTGGCCCCTCGTAGCGGCTAAGGTACCAGACACTAATCTTCTGCTTATCGCAGTATTCAATGATTGTAAATACCAAGAAAACATAATCATATCTGATCCAATGAAGAATATAATAGTAAGTATCCACTTACAGATAGCAGTAGACCTAACTCTTGATTTCACCAAATAGATGGTGTCGGAATGAGCTTATCGAACCATTCATAGCTACTTTTCTTACATTTTTTTTTTCAAATTTAACAATAGTAGCGACATTTTAGTACCTAGGGTAGTTATTAATATTTTAGTTTTTTTAATAAATGCGAAGAATGAGACCTGTGAAACTTGGATATATGAGTAGACTTTAAAGACACATATCTCTTTATAGGTACTATCGACTCGTTTCGTAGTTACCTGAATGTGTCCGGCAACGTATCCGAATGGATGATATATATTTCATATGGTTTAACACCATTACTAATAAATATGCCACAGGATGGGCTTATACCGCCTTTACTATTTTCAAAATGTATTAATTTAATCCTGTACCAATTTTTCTCTTCTTACCACCTTTACGCAGTCGATTTGCAAATCTACTCTTAATTAAATATCAACTCCATTTATAAAGAGCTACCTTATCTCTAAATTTATGCCTGAAGTGGATTATAATGTAAGTATTGCCGCAAGTGTCTTTTTCTTTAAGCTGAAGTGTGGAAAACTTATGTATACATATAGACAAAACCCTTTCATTAAGTATTCAGTTAAAACATGTCAAAGGAAAAATGTTTGCTTTTGCTGATTCTTGTTTAGGGATAGTCCTTTGCATCCGGGCCTCCGGAGACTAAATAGCGTGGATATCCTATCTAACTGGACCATTCCTTTTATTTGTTGAAAATTTAACCAAAAGGTTCAGGAGAGACATTAAGTTTAATGTTTTGCTATGCCAAAATGCGATTTGGTGCGTTTTTACGAAGACACTGAGAGTTTTGATAATATCAATGTACAGCCAAAAACAGTAATTTAAAAAATTCTGGATTTAAATATTATTTACAGCAAGATTTAAAATCTTCCCACATTTCCAAAAGTCGATCCATTGGTAATAATGACTACAAGTCTGACTTCAGCTTTACTTTTTGTAAGCGGGAGCAGTTTCCAAATTCTTTGAAAGAGTGATTGCAAAGCGCCTCCTCAAGCACTTCTCGAGAGTTGGGCCGAATCTGGCGAACAACCAGTACGGTTTCTGCCAGGGGCGCTCAACTGTGGATGCGATCATACGCGTGAGGGCTCTGGCGGAGCAAGCAGTTTCCCGAGGTGGTGGAGGAGTGGTGTTGGCGGTGTTCTTGGACATCGACAACGCGTTCAACACTTTGCCCTGGAGTTGCATCAGAGAGGTGCACGTGTACCATGAAGTGCCTTTATACCTAAATATATGTCGGAGAGAGCCGTTCTCTACCCAAGTAGTACCGGTGTCGGTCGGCATTAAATATCGTGCTGTTATGCGGGACCTTGCAGTTAGCTTTTTATAAAAAAGTATTTAAAACACTGAAGGTTATTTATTTGAATTAAATAAAGGAAATAGAAATATTTAGGAATTAGAATAATGAATCCGACCCGATCCGAGTTCGATTGTAGACTGACGCTCCGATGCGCTCAGGGTTTATATCGGTTTTATCAATGCTGGCTCAGCAAGACCAGGGTCTGTTAGTCAGCCCTAATGCCTACATCGACAGGGTGTAACAACCCCCCGCGGAAAACTGAAGTTCGAGGAAAAATCGAAGTTCAGGAATAGTTAGGCGACTTCCCTCAGTCGCGGCAATGGTAGGGGTGAATCCCTACTTTGGAAATTGTCATCGTTATCGGTAGAGGTCGGATTTGAATTTGAATTGTTAAATCTATTCTTATATTTATAAACAATTTTACTTAATTTAAACAATACATAAGAAAATACAATACAAGAAATAATTGATGTGAAAACAGTGTGACGAGTCTCGTAACTCGAAAATACAGGGTTTTTATTTAAAATATTCTTGAGGTCGGGAAACAAGTTATCATAATGAGTTTTTACAGTTAGATCATCCAAATCTATGTTATTTAACTTAACAGGAATAACATTATTTAATAAACTACCATTTAATACACAACATGAGTCATTAATAATGTTAAAATCTAAATTAGGACTAGGGACACTTATATTAATAGAGTTAATAGGGGAAATAAGTCTTGCGCTTTTTGTATACACTGTGCACTGATTGGGGGTTTGAAGGATTCCGGTGCCGACCACTATTATCTCTTTTAGTTCAGTGACACCACACTCTATAGAGATTTTGTTTGGACACGATTGCACAAAAATCCATCGATTATTAGTGACTGGTTTCCAGATGTCGAGTTCACCAGATATTGTCTTCGTGTTACACTGCACAGGAATGCCACTGAGTGTTTTAGTTAACAGTTCGCTTTCACATGTAGGGTGACTATTCGTCGACAACACCGTAGATATTTCACAGAGATAGAACTCAAAGCTCACAACTTTACATTTACTTAAATCACTTAAATTACAGAAACTTAACTTATCCTTAGACATAGCAATAAAAGGATTTGAGGGAGATATAAGACTATAAGTGTTAGGACTGTCTCCTCCGTGAGGAGTAGGTAGAGGTATACTGTGATACAAGTTAAAATCGTCATTAGTAACTAAAGGAATTTGTAACACAAAAACTAACTTATTATTATAATAAAGACAAGCAACCTTGGATATACTTAATATTAAGTGTATATTATCTAAGCTTAGAGGAATAGGTATTTCAGTGTTCCCAGGTAGGTGTCTATCGTTATCGACGAGCTCTTTGTGCAGTTGCGCTGGGGTTAAAATATTTGGGTGCAGTATATTTTGGCTAGTTAAAATTATGGCGTTGATCAAATCTTCTAATTGGAAGGATAATATTAATAGGGAACTCTCGAGGTTGGCTAATACGGAATGGACTTTATTTTGGGTTAGTAGGGTGTTAGTTATTTCGGTAAGATTATGTTCGTTTATCAGGATTTTATTTATAGAGTCGCTGAGAATATCTTCATTATTTTTTATGGTAGTCATTGTCTGTTTAAAGGATTCTAGTGTGGAAGTAGTAACTAAGATATTTTCTTTCATGAGTTCTGCGATTTTCTTCTGATCTTGTTGGACTATCTCTATGGCGGAGTCATATTTTAAGGCGTCATCTTCATCAAGGGTCCCGAAAACGTATTTAAACACGGTCCCTATACCACCAAACCACGCTGACCGTTTGTTTCGTTTTGAAATTAAGTGAGAGATAGAGTCATATTCACGTTTTATGTCTTGGAAACGCACTGTGAGTGGGGATAGGGTGTTCTTACATTCTGGGTCATTAGTTTTATGACACATTAATCTAACAGATGTTATAATTTCATTTAAGTTGGTTAAATGCGGGCTTATATAAGAGATATCTACGTAACTAACTATATTTAATTCGCCTCTGGTGATTTTAAGTTTGCCTATGGTGTCGAAGAAGATGCCAGAGTTAGAAGGGTATGGCTTGACAAAGTCTGGATGCGCATAAGTTGAAGCGCTGAAAAGGAAATGAAATAAATGAATATTTCTTTTGAATTTAAGTAGTAGTAGTAGAAGTAGAAGGTTGTGAGATTTCTGTAGGTTTGATTTCGTCAAAATGGTGTCTTATGTGTCTTCTGTTAATCAGGAGTGTGACAGTGTTGTTGTTGTGTACCTTTATTATTTTGTATGGTCCTTTCCAAATGGGAGACAGAGCTTTTCTGAGTCTTAAATGATTTCTAAGATAAACGAAATCACCGGCTTTGTATTGAGGCGGTCTTCTGGTTCGGGAATCGTAGTAAGTTTTCGATGTTTGTTTGGATTTTAGAATATTTTCGTGAGCTTTTTCCCTAGTGTATTTAAATTTGTGGTTTAGCATTCGGATATAGTCTGAGTATGTTGTACCGGCGCTACTTTCGTATACAGAACTGGGTATAAAGGGTTTGTGTCCGAAAACTAACTCATATGGACTGAATTTAGTAGTATGTATGTAATTTAGTAGTGTGAGTATAGCAGTGTAAACGTATGTGGGCCAGTTATCTTGATTTTGGTTTACGAAGGATTTCAAATATTCTTTCAGTGTAGAATGACTGCGCTCCAGAGCGCCTTGTGTTTGAGGGTGGTAAGGGGACGCCCATAGCTGTTTGATTTTCAGAAATCGACAAGTGGTTTTGAAGAGATCTGAAGTGAAGTTAGTGCCTTGGTCAGTGAGGATTGACTTGGGGATTCCGAAAAGGGAGATAAAATGAATTAGGCAATCTGCTGATTCTTCTGCTGTCGTACTACGAAGAGGATAGGCTATAGAATATTTAGTGAGATCATCCTGCAGGGTCATAATGTATTTAAGTTTTCCGGAGCCGGATTCGGGTAAAGGTCCTACTAAATCTAATGCGACTCTCTGGAATGGAGCAGTTGCAGTAGTGGTAATTTCCATGGGAGCTCTATTGAGTTTCCTTAATGCTTTGTTTTCTTGACACATTTTACATTTCTTAACATAGTCTTCTATGTCTCCTCTCATTCCTTTCCAGTAATATTGTTCTTTTATCCTACTGTACATACGTGTTGAACCTAAATGACCGGCTACAGGGATATCATGATTTTCCCGTAAAATTTTGGATCTTTCGCTAAGAGTTGGGTAGATTGTTTTATTTAGATAAATGTGTATACAGATTTTAGTATTGTGGAATACGTAGGTGAGGATATTGTAAATTTTAGTGTATGAATGTTGATCGAAAGGGTTTTTAAAATCCGAAACTGCGATATCTGATACAGGTCCGTTTTGTAAAATAAGATCTCTTACTCGTTTCAGGCTATCGTATATATCAGGGTAAGACGATTCGTCGAAATGGTGTACCTTGGTAAACAATAAATAAATTTCCTTGCCTGCGAATTTAGTGTTGAGAAATGAATTCGGTTCCTTTTCCGCGTTAAGGATTTCATCTCTATTTGGGTTGTCGTTTAGAATTTCAGAGACGTAGGGATTGGATTCGTCCAGATCAATGGAAGTAGGAATTAGAATTATTTTATGGGGGAATTTTAATAGATTCTCGTTGTGTTCTTTTAGGACAGTGTCAAAA